CTGGCCGTATATTAGATATAGATGTAAAAATATGGGCAGCAGCCCTGCAGCCAAACAGAAAAAAGCTTTAAGCCCACAAAAAATAAATTTTAATTTAAATTAGCAGGAATTTCATAGCAGGAATATTGTGATTCATACCAGTAATATTTAAATTAGCAGGAATAATTTTGCAGAAGAAAAAAAAGATTCTTACCAGTATTCCTGGTTGGAATTTTTCAAATTCTGACAAGAAAAATTTATTTTCTTGCTAGAATATTAAATTCTAATGCAATTTGTTTAAAACGATAATTTTCATTGGACGTTGACAAATATTTTGAAGGGTTAGATTCCACATTTTACCAGTCCTTAACTAAGGAAAGCCACCATTTTGAATTCCAATTTTTTTTAGTATGTAATTTCTTCAAAAGTAAACAAAAAAGTCACATTTCGTGCCTCAAAATCTTCTTTTTGTCAATGTTTAAACCAATCAGAAGCGCACGAAAAGTATACATACGTCTAGTGTTTATGTTTGACACTGGGAGTATACCTATGAAGGTATAGAACCACTAATTCAGGCCCGGTCGGAAAGAACATACAAGAAAATAGTACATATTTTAAACAAAATAGTTCCTACGCATAGCTGTATCTTTGTCAATAGTGGGAATATTTGGGTAGTTTTAGTATCAAATGAAAGCTTGGGGACTTGGGGTCACTGTAGAACCCTTGTTGAAAGTTTTATTTGAATAATAAAGAAGTATAGGAAATTTTAATAGGAGGGCTCATTTGGCCTGTTGTTCAGATCAGAAGTTCCTGTTTTTGTACTATCAAACTTCCGGGAACCAGTACGCTCTAATATGCAATTAAAGGTATGTTGATTTTTTCAGCACAAGTCAGCATAAGGTACAGTTTTGACATGAAATAAATGCCACTTTATTTGAACTTAAGATAAAGTAGCCATTTATGCTTGAAATTGCAGAATTTAACATAGAAAGCAATGGGGCTATAAATTAGTGGTTTTATACCTATTACTGACAGGCATGAGAAATTCTATTTTTAGAAATCATACCCTTTACAGTGAAAATTGGTCACATTTGTTGTCAGAAATCATGTTACATTATTTTTTTTATGTAACAATTATGTTAGTGTCAAATTACAGCCCTCAAATTGCTACAATAAGGTATTTTAGCCTTTTTTGGTCATTTAGCATGCACACAGTTAAGATTTTACCTGAAATTTAAATTTTTGGATTATCTAACACTGAAACCAATGAAACTTGTATATTATGACTAGTTTATAGTATAAATATTGTTTTTGGTCAAATTATCTAGTGAGTGTTCATGTTTTATTGTGTTTCTTGGTGAATTATTTATTTCAAGGAAAATTGGTGTATACTTATATAGGAATTCCAAAATCTCACTTGAAATGCATTTTATAATCATTTTAGCAAGTTGTCTAGCTTGGAGATACATAAATTGCTTTGTTGATCCATGTTTATACATAAAAGTATGTTTTTTTTACCTAATCACTCTCCTTTTCCAACATGTAGGAAAAAGGGGGGACCAAATTATCAATTATATTTTATGTTCGGACCACTGTATTTGTATTCAAGGAAGAATCTCTGATAAAAATAAGACATATAGGTAAGAACACTGTTATTTGAGTAGATATTAACAAATCAGAACTGGTAAAAATTGAAAAAGTGTCATATCTGTCACTATTAGTATCTATATGTAGTTTTCTTTGTTTAACGCATATGTTACTACCAGTCCAATTTGAGCTTGAATTCAGTGATATAGTGTTTTGACAAAAGCTTTATGTGTTTTTCTATGCTAGAAATAGATCATAGAAGGAAATTAAGTCAAGCAGAAGTCAATATAACAAGTTTGGTGCTGTTATAGGTATAGAACCACTAATTCAGGCCCGGTCGGAAAGAACATACAAGAAAATAGTACATATTTTAAACAAAATAGTTCCTACGCATAGCTGTATCTTTGTCAATAGTGGGAATATTTGGGTAGTTTTAGTATCAAATGAAAGCTTGGGGACTTGGGGTCACTGTAGAACCCTTGTTGAAAGTTTTATTTGAATAATAAAGAAGTATAGGAAATTTTAATAGGAGGGCTCATTTGGCCTGTTGTTCAGATCAGAAGTTCCTGTTTTTGTACTATCAAACTTCCGGGAACCAGTACGCTCTAATATGCAATTAAAGGTATGTTGATTTTTTCAGCACAAGTCAGCATAAGGTACAGTTTTGACATGAAATAAATGCCACTTTATTTGAACTTAAGATAAAGTAGCCATTTATGCTTGAAATTGCAGAATTTAACATAGAAAGCAATGGGGCTATAAATTAGTGGTTTTATACCTATTACTGACAGGCATGAGAAATTCTATTTTTAGAAATCATACCCTTTACAGTGAAAATTGGTCACATTTGTTGTCAGAAATCATGTTACATTATTTTTTTTATGTAACAATTATGTTAGTGTCAAATTACAGCCCTCAAATTGCTACAATAAGGTATTTTAGCCTTTTTTGGTCATTTAGCATGCACACAGTTAAGATTTTACCTGAAATTTAAATTTTTGGATTATCTAACACTGAAACCAATGAAACTTGTATATTATGACTAGTTTATAGTATAAATATTGTTTTTGGTCAAATTATCTAGTGAGTGTTCATGTTTTATTGTGTTTCTTGGTGAATTATTTATTTCAAGGAAAATTGGTGTATACTTATATAGGAATTCCAAAATCTCACTTGAAATGCATTTTATAATCATTTTAGCAAGTTGTCTAGCTTGGAGATACATAAATTGCTTTGTTGATCCATGTTTATACATAAAAGTATGTTTTTTTTACCTAATCACTCTCCTTTTCCAACATGTAGAAAAAAGGGGGGACAAAATTATCAATTATATTTTATGTTCGGACCACTGTATTTGTATTCAAGGAAGAATCTCTGATAAAAATAAGACATATAGGTAAGAACACTGTTATTTGAGTAGATATTAACAAATCAGAACTGGTAAAAATTGAAAAAGTGTCATATCTGTCACTATTAGTATCTATATGTAGTTTTCTTTGTTTAACGCATATGTTACTACCAGTCCAATTTGAGCTTGAATTCAGTGATATAGTGTTTTGACAAAAGCTTTATGTGTTTTTCTATGCTAGAAATAGATCATAGAAGGAAATTAAGTCAAGCAGAAGTCAATATAACAAGTTTGGTGCTGTTATAGGTATAGAACCACTAATTCAGGCCCGGTCGGAAAGAACATACAAGAAAATAGTACATATTTTAAACAAAATAGTTCTTACGCATAGCTGTATCTTTGTCAATAGTGGGAATATTTGGGTAGTTTTAGTATCAAATGAAAGCTTGGGGACTTGGGGTCACTGTAGAACCCTTGTTGAAAGTTTTATTTGAATAATAAAGAAGTATAGGAAATTTTAATAGGAGGGCTCATTTGGCCTGTTGTTCAGATCAGAAGTTCCTGTTTTTGTACTATCAAACTTCCGGGAACCAGTACGCTCTAATATGCAATTAAAGGTATGTTGATTTTTTCAGCACAAGTCAGCATAAGGTACAGTTTTGACATGAAATAAATGCCACTTTATTTGAACTTAAGATAAAGTAGCCATTTATGCTTGAAATTGCAGAATTTAACATAGAAAGCAATGGGGCTATAAATTAGTGGTTTTATACCTGAAGTCACGTTGTTTAGATGCCATAGACGATGTAACAGTTTCATAATCTTTTTCATTATTGGCTTTTTTATGCCAAGATCTTTAATAAAATTGAATTTATTTTAACATGTGGAATGGAGATAACTGTATTGTATTTTAAGCTTGGACTTCGTATTGCTAGGTAAAATCAATATGCAACACTAAAATCAAAGTTTTATAAAGGCCAATCTCAACACCTCTTGTAAAATTTTTTTTTTTTAAGTACAAAAGTGAAGAACTGCTTATTTTTAGTTTTGCATTATCTCAATGGTTGGCTTAAATTGAATTTTATACCATGTATTTATAAGTACAAAAATTGAAATTAAAGAAAGGGACAAGTTTGACCAAGTTAACACACTCATTGTATCCTGTGGTATTTAGGTTTTTGTTTTTGAAAGACTTTGGTCCTTAATTTTAAGTATTTATAAGATTTATACATTGCCCAAATTGTTTTCTGTAATTCCATTTACCTAAAATGTCTTATTTGCTACCCCATATACTCCCGAAGTTAGCAGTAAGAAGGAAATGTCCATCCAGTTTTGCCATTTGTTTTCAGCTAATTAGCATTTTATATTTTAGTAACTTTCGGTTAATCATCTACTTATACACTAATGATAATTGAACAAACAAATAGAAAGGCACAGATTTAAGTTCAGTCCATAAATAAAAACCACTATTTTACCCCTATTCATGACCAAACCATTTAAATTTATATTTTAAACATAAAGCAAATAGACAGATTCTTTTCTCAACTACAAAAGAACTGATGTGATCTTTCAAGACCAATACCTCCATATAAAGTATTTTGATTAATAAATACATATAAACATGTTTCTGTCCCCACAGTTTAAAACAGCATAAAGTATTGCTGTTATTCTGTATTGCTGCAATTTAGTTAAGATTCTGTCAAAATCTGTTTTCATTCTGCTAAATTCTTTTAAATTTTAATCTTCATTTTTATCTGAGAAAAAAAAAATCAGTGATTGAAATAGTTTAAATTAAACCTTGAATGCAAATTTGAATTCAATAGGTTCGTTTAAATTAACTGGGTTTAATTTCTGACACTCCCTATGTCCTATACCTAATACTGTAACGTACATTATTGGAAAACCAAACTTTGAAGAATAATGTACACGATTTGTATTTAAATAGATAGTGTATATATGTATTGCTATTGAACATGTCTCAGCTTAATTGATTTGGAACTATTTAAAAAAAAAATAGGTTAGGTCTTGAATATGATCTTATTGGGTATATTTGAACTACATTTTCAATGATCTATTTATTGAACTTTATAGACATTTTAAAGCTGACAGACGTTTTTTTATTTCAGATTATGGACCATTTTTTGTACTATGGCATGCAATAAGATCATTTTAGTTATTTACAGAAATAATTAAGGACATATAATTAACAGAGAGAATTAATTTAGTATAGGTAAGTAAACTATTCTGATTATTATTCAGTTGTTGTAATGCATTCAATGTATTCCATATTCTCCAAGTAATGTTTAAAAATAGACTAATTTATTCTCAGGTAAAACCTTTTGAAAATCAATAAAACATTAACCATACATTATAATAGTTTACTTGATTTAAGTCGATCAATATGATCTTTAAAGCTTCATTTTATTAGTTTCACTTCATGAATATGTTTCTTGATATGCTATTTATAATTACTAAGCATAGGACATGTAAAGTTCAAAATAGCTGTTTTTATAATAATAACTCGGATGGAGGTGGAATAGGTTTAATTATTCTGCCTTGATTTGTATTCTTTATTATTTTATCAATGGTTATACTTAAAGTATAATGTAGAGACAAAAATCAATAGATATATTAAATGGTTAGAAACAATTTTCCTATGTTTATATCAAAATAGCAACAGGCATTGTAAAGAATTGTGCAAGGGACAACATATTTTATTATTGGTGGTGTTATATTTGTTTACTTTTCATAATATTTTAAACACCACAGATAATAATTGCATGTTCCTTAGAATTAAAAGAATCTTCCTTATGAGATTTTGAATTGACTAACAACAAGTAAAACATACTGACCTATATTAATGGTGAACTAGTGCATTTAAGACCTTTTTCATTTTAGGCATTTAGTACTTTTATTGCATTCAAAATCAAGATGGAAAAAATAATATCAAAGTATGATTATGCAAATGGTAATGATGATACTGAATCTGCTCTTCAAGATGAACTTAATGACCTTGACACAGATGAAATAGAAGAAAAGATAAAGATATCTGACATTAAAAATATTATAAATATCTACATCAAGAAGATTTGTTTGGAGGAATATGTTAAGAAAGTACCCAGAGATGCACCTGGTTGTTATATGGCCACCGCGACTTGCCGACAACTCTGTGACCTTATAGAGTGAGTTCATTAGCTAGAACAAAACATCGTGACATTATTTTCATGGCCCCACCACATAGTTGTCAGGGCCATATAGTTTTACCCTTATCTGTCATTCCGACATTCTGTCATTCTATCATTTCTTCATTTTGTCATTCTGTCATTCCGTCATTCCATGATTCCACCATTTCACAACAAACAGTGATATGGCCTTCACATATTGAGCTGATTTTTAGTATGTGAGTCTACTGTGATGAGTTACAGATCGAGCTTATGTTTGGTTCCACTCACTCTGATTTTTGATGAAATTACAGGCTTTGGACTTTGAAATTTCTTGAACCTAGCAGTTATACAGTCTCTTTTCTAAACGCCTTCAAATATTGAGGTATTTTTAGTATGAGTTTACTATGATGAATTACAGATTGAGTTTACATTTGATTTTGCTCTGCTGATTTTTGCTGAAATTACTGGCTTTGGACTTCGAAAATTTCTTGAAAATAACTTTTCAACAAAATATACATTTTTTTATTGGCTTGTATGCAGACCTCGGCAAAATCAGATATTCACGAAAATATAATTTTCCCTCAATCCATGAAAATTGGTAAACACAAAAATAAATGAATCCACAGTATTTTAATTTAGCTTTTATGCACAGTAGGATTTTGAATTGGTGTTTTTCTTTTCCTCATACATTTTTGTCCAGCCTTCGACTTTAGTCAAAAAAGCGAGACATAGCGATCCTACATTCCTTCGGCGTCGTCGTCATCGGCGGCGGCATACACAAATATTCACTCTGTGGTTAAAGTTTTTGAAATTTTAATAGCTTTCTTAAACTATCCTCGGTTTGTACCAAACTTGGACAGAAGCTTGTTTATGATCATAAGATAGTATATAGAAGTAAATTTTGTAAAAAAATACATCCATTTTTTCCTTATTTTACTTTTAAATGGACTTAGATTTTCTGCCAGGAAACAACACATTCACTCTGTGGTTAAAGTTTTTAAAATTTTAATAACTTTCTTAAACTATCCTGGGTTTGTACCAAACTTGGACAGAAGCTTGTTTATGATCATAAGATAGTATATAGAAGTAAATTTTGTAAAAAAATACATCCATTTTTTCCTTATTTTACTTTTAAATGGACTTAGATTTTCTGCCAGGATTTAACAACATATTCACTCTGTGATTAAAGTTTTTAAAATTTTAATAACTTTCTTATACTATTTTGGATTTGAACCAAACTTGGACAGAAGCTTGTTTATGATCAAATGCTAGTATCTAGAAGGAAATTTTGTTTTCTTCCAGTTAACATTACATTCAGTCTGCAGTTAAAGTTTTTAAACATTTATTAGATTCATAAACTATCCTGGATTTTTACCAAACCTGGACAGAAGCTTCTTACAATCAAAAGAAAGTATCAAGAGGAATATTTTTTTGATTTACTTCCTCATTTTTGTTGAGCCTACGATTAACAGCAAAAGGAGGCAAGACACTGGGTTCCGCGGAACCCCTTACGAATTTTTAAATTTGTAAAAAAAGATTGATTTGGCTGTTGCATATATAAAAGACTGTACACAAAAGAAAAACATATTCTCATATTTAAAGAAAAAATATACAAATGAAAAGAGAAAATATTATAATTAGGTTGGGGGCTAATTTTTCTTAAAATTTTAAGATGACATGAAAAGTAGAATATTACATAACTTGTCTTAATCCCAACAAAGCTTCAGAGAAGCAGGAAAAAATTATCAATTCTGGAACCTAATTATTACTTCTACAAAGATAATAGTATTAAAGGATAGCATGAGGTTAGTAATGTATGCTGGACATAGATTATTAGCTATTTTCAGGAAAAAATATTGTCTAGCTTTCCTATTTTACCAGAATTACTTGACAAGTTACAAAGTTTAGAGATTGTTTGCATGAAGAGTTGAGGCAGTTAGAGTTTCAACAACCTTGAATTTTAATTTCAAAAGATATAGTCTGTATTTAGTTGGACGCAGCTATCCCACAATAAAAAAAACAACAAATGACATAAAATGTGTGTAAGAACCGACTTGAGATAAGTTTTTCCTATTGGCATGGCATTTCAAAAATATTTGAAGAAAAATTCTCAAAACATGTTAAAAAATCTCAACCTGATAATGAGGTCTTTACACTTAATATTTTGGAGGTTTACTGCTTGATATTTTTGTATGAAAAACAACATTTTTATTGATTAGTTGAAATTGGACTTTGAACTAGCTTTCAATAACTGTCAGTACTGTAATCTGAACTTTGTGTCTTTTGTCTTTTTGTGCTTGAAAGGCAAAAGGCATTGATAGCCTTATTTGTCACAAAATTAAATCAGTTTTTTATAGTATTTATAGTTGAAAATGGTGAAATTTTCAGCAAGTTTAAGGGTTTTATAGTTGTAAATAATACAAAAGGCAAGTCAAAGGTGCTAACAAACAATACCAGCAATGTAAAACTTTTAAACAAAACAGGTCTTAATACCGCTCCCTTCTCGTTAAACGGTACATGTATAATTAAAACCACAACCATTTTACAACTTGGAAATCAACCCAAGGAAAATTGGGCAACATAAAGGTCGAGAGATACACAATTTTTAACAATGGAAGAAATCAATGCAACAGCTGTTCATTTTAATTAGAGTATTTACATTTTTATCGTCAAGAAGGAAAAAGCAATCTTGCAAAGTTTTAAGTAGTATGTTTTTGTGCCATTTTGAAATATTTGCTGCTGCTTGATTTAAAGTTTAAACTTTTATGTTGATTTTTTTAGCAATGGTGTAGAGAATGAGAAATTATCAAAAACAGATTGTCAGGACTGTTTGTTTGATCTTTATTTGGCCATTATACGTGCTGGACCAGGAACAGCTCATTATGAAGTTCTGGAAAAGATAGGAGACTGCATTGAAATGGACAATTATTTGAAGGTTTGCTGTGTTTAAAAATTAAGGTGTAGAATAACTTAACTCAGGACCCTGGCAGAGAGAACATACCAAGTATTCAAAACAAAAAAAATCCAAGTTGTTAAGACTTCAGTTTCACTACCAAATTGAAAATCTAAAATGTATTCTTTGCTTTTCATTTAGGATCCATACATATTGATAATTATACCCCATGCAACGAAGTTGCAGAGGGTATAATGTTTTTCACCCATCTGTCCGTCCGTCCGTCCGTCCATCTGTCAGTCCGTCCGTCAGTCATGTTCTTCATCGCAACTTCTCTGAAACCATACAACAGAATTTCAGGAAACTTTGTAGATAATTAGGACATGCTATGTAGATGTGCTTATCGACAGGAAATTATGATTCAATTATTAGGCAGTTAAGCTGCCTTATGCGAGCACCCTAGATTTGTGTTCTACCCAATAAATGCTGAAATACGTGCCATTGTTATTATCTAGCTGGCTATTATGTTATTTATAACTAATTGGACATTTTTTTAATACTTTTATTTCTGGAATACAAAAAATATGACCAGAAAAACCTTAAATGATCGTCGAACTACCCAAAACTTTTGAAGTTGCACATAGGAAGTAGTGCTCAATAGAAATCCGTACGTAGTTTATTATCCCCTGCGCTTTTGGCTACGATGTCAAAGAACAATTGTATGAAATATTTCATCGCAGAAAATCGGTAATTACAAGTCGTTTATATTTCCCAAATGGCAAAATGCGCAGGAATATTGTTCATGTACAACAAATCTCTATGATAGAGGAAATTAAGTTATATAAGTGGGTGGTAATTTCTAACTTATCTTGCCAAATAAGGTTGTTGTTATTTTATGAATGAAACGAGGTCACGAAAACAGATGTGGAAATCGACGTTGATGGGGTGTTTTAAGTAATGTGGACAACTCGTCCCCGAGACAAGTCGGACCGAATCCACTCAAACCGTCTAAGAAGACAACTTTGACCGTTTGTCAGATTTACTTAGGGTTTCATAAAATATTAGACTAACATGTCTAGCGGAGCCATTTATCTTTTGTTTGTGCATTGGGGTCTATTTAGGGGTATTTGGAGGGGCCTGAAGAAGGGAGGGGTTTACTATAGAACCCTATGGGATTTTTATTTTTTTTAATTTTCAAATGACTATTTCTCGAAAACAGTAGGTGATAGACACATGCAGTCTTCAGTAATGAGAACAGGACAATACAAAAAATCAACCAAAATATAGGGTGAGTCCCTGGGGGTCATCCCAACCCCCTTTAATTTGAAAATGTACTTTTATCTTGTAAACCGTCGCGATCCCCACCCCTAAACAATATATATACTTGAATGGGACAATTAAAGAAATCAAATGAAAATAATTTGGGGGAGTCCCCAGTGTCGTCCCACCCCCTCCTGTTTGAGAACTTGGAAATGGTCAAGATCCCCACCCCTAAACCATATATATTCATGTATGGGACAATAAAACAAATAAAAAATGAAATATAGAGTGAGTCCCTGTGGTCAACCCACCCCCTCCTGTTTGAGAACTTGGAAATGGTTGAGATCCCCACCCCTAAACCATATACATTCATGTATGGGACAATAAAACAAATCAAATGAAATATAGGGTGAGTCCCTAGGGACACCCCCGCCCCTCCTGTTTGAGAACTTGTAAACAGTCAAGATCCCCACCCCTAAACCATATGTATTCATGTATGGGACAATAAAACAAATAAAAAATGAAATATAGAGTGAGTCCCTGTGGTCAACCCACCCCCTCCTGTTTGAGAACTTGGAAATGGTCAAGATCCCCACCCCTAAACCATATATATTCATGTATGGGACAATAAAACAAATCAAAAATGAAATATAGAGCGAGTCCCTAGGGTCACCCCACCCCCTCCTGTTTGAGAACTTGTAAACGGTCGAGATCCCCACCCCTAAACCGTATATATTCATGTATGGGACAATATAACAAATCAAATGAAATATATGGGGAGTCCCTTGGGTCACCCCAACCCCTCCTGTTTGAGAACTTGGAAATGGTTGAGATCCCCACCCCTAAACCATATACATTCATGTATGGGACAATACAACAAATCAAATGAAATATAGGGGGAGTCCATGGGGACACCCCACCCCCTCTTGTTTGAGAACTTGTAAACAGTCAAGATCCCCACCCCTAAACCATATATATTCATGTATGGGACAATATAACAAATCAAATGAAATATTTGGGGAGTCCCTGGGGTCACCCCACCCCCTCCTGTTTGAGAACTTGGAAATTGTCGAGATCCCCACCCCTAAACCATATGTATTCATGTATGGGACAATATAAAAAATCAAATGAAATATAGGGGGAGTCCCTGGGGTCACCCCACCCCCTCCTGTTTGAGAACTTGGAAATGGTCGAGATCCCCACCCCTAAACCATATGTATTCATGTATGGGACAATATAACAAATCAAATGAAATATAGGGGGAGTCCCTGGGGTCACCCCACCCCCTCCTGTTTGAGAACTTGTAAACGGTCGAGATACCCACACCTAAACCATATTTATTCCTGTTCATCATTTCAAAAAGATTTGAATGACATACAGGGTCAATCTCCTTGGTGTCACATATGCATATCACTTTACTAGACCAAACCAATATGAACTGGACTTTGCCCAATGTCAGGAGACCATGGGAATGACGAATTATGGGGGCTTTGTTTGGGAGACTTCGTAACGGCATCCTGTTACAAAATATTTTGTTTATTATAAAAAAAATTTGATCCAAAAAATGAGTCTAGATTATTGAATTTACTTTAATTGTTTATTAAATTATTTCTGGGCCTATAATAATTTTCATTTATGGCTCATTTTAAAGAAAACATATAAATCTTTCAAGCAGTGTAAAGCCCGAGAATGTTTGACCTACTGTTTTATAATCACCTGTCATTTTATTCCAAACTTGGTATGGAGTAACATCTTGCACTTGGGGGTGAAGATGGGGGTCATTTACATTGATATATGAGTTGCTTTTGAAAACCTTGATGAAATATTAATTAATTTGCCTTAATAATCAATTCATTTAATGAACATAAATGTACAATATACGAATGTTTAATGTTTGTTCTTTCAAATCTTAAAAGAAAATTGAAGCAACATTGCCACAGTTTTCATAATTACGTTTGGCTTGGTTTTTGGTTAACTGCCTACAGCGCTTACAGTGCTTTGATTTTTCTAGGAGTTATGCCCCTTTAACTTAGAATTTTGGCCAAAATATACTTTGTCATTGCAACTCTTCTGAAACCACAAAACAGAATTTCATGTAACTTTGTAGTTAATAAGGACATACTATGTAGATGTGCATATCGAGAGAAAATTACGATTCAATTTTTTTTCTAGGAGTTATGCCCCTTGAACTTCGAATTTTGGCCAAAATATATTTTGTCATCGCAACTCCCCTGAAACCACACAACAGAATTTCATGAAACTTTGTAGATAATAAGGACATACTATGTAGATGTGCATATCGACAGGAAATTATGATTCAATTTTGTTTCTAGGAGTTACGCCCTTTAACTTAGAATTTTGACTTAAATATACTTTGTCATTGTAACTCCCCTGAAACCACACAACAGAATTTCATGAAACTCTGTAGATAATAAGGACATACTAAGTAGATGTGCATATCGACATATTATGATTTAATTTTTTTCTAGGTGTTATGCCCCTTTGAACTCTTTTGTAGAGTTATGAGTCTTTGAACTTACGAATCTGGTGAGATTTTGTTTCTCCAGTGACAATGTGGGGGTGTGGGGTATGTGAGCGTGCTCACAAAGGTTCTTTAATTTGAAAAGTTTAAGGTATCTGTTTCATTTTGTGAATGCTAGACATCACTTTAATTTGTTTGATTAGTTCCAAATACAGATAATCTTTCAAAATTCCCTAATCATATGACATTTCGAAAGATAGCCAAAAATTCTTCATTTTACAAATGCCATTTTGTAAATTTTGCAGTTACATCCTTAGCTTTTATGGTGATTATAAGTCAATTCAATTGTTATATGGATTTCTTAGGCTCAAAACTGAAATGATATGCCTGCTTCTAATATTTGAAATATTTTGAAATTGCTTCATTATTTTAATCCATAACATTTAGTGCTGATTATATTTATTACAGAATTTAAAAGGAGAAAAACTTCAACAAATGGCTTCAGCTGTAATGGAACACAAATACATCAAAGAAAATATGGAGATGGAGGATTATGCAAGTTTGATGAATTCTTACATGTCCCGTATTCCTCAAACATTTGCTGAGTAAGTATATAAGTGATTACTGAATAATGTATGGTAATAAAAAACAAAAAAAAACAGTCTGAAGCACTTTAAAGAATGAGTATAAGTTTGTCCAGTCTTTTATGATAACAATACATGTCTATTTGTGTGTATCAATTAGCTCAAGGTGTACAATTTAAGACATATACTAATTGAATGATCATGTAAATAAAACTTGTCCTAGTGAAAAGGGCCCCATTTATAGGATGCAGGAGCCCTTAGTTTTAATGATAATGAGATGTGGTATTATTGCCAATGAGACAAATTTACGGTAAATCTTTAGATACCAAAGGATAAAGATGTAAACAATTACAGGTAACCAGAGGGCCTTCAATAATGAACAAAACCCATACGGTATATTTGCTATAAAAGGCCCTGGGATGAAATTTTGAAAATGAGTACATAGTATAGTCAAAAATCTTGTACATTTGTAATTATTATTGGGTCAATTGTAATTCAGATACCTTTAATTTATAACAAGTTACTTTGGTTATGCAAAATATGTGTGCTGTGTCCTATATCTTATTTCCAATAGTTGTACTGTAAAAGGTTGAAAGGTAGTTATACCCTATGCAATGAAGTTGCGGAGGGTATAATGTTTTTGACCCGTCCGTCTGTCTGTCCGTCCGTCCGTCCGTCAGTCCTGTTCTTGTCATCACAACTCCTCTGAAACCACACAACAGAATTTCATGAAACTTTGTAGATAATAAGGACATACTACGTAGATGTGTATATTGACAGGAAATTATGATTCAATTATTTTTCTAGGAGTTATGCCCCTTTGAACTTATTGGCCTCAATATACTACTGCAACAGTTTGTCATCGCAACTCCTCTGAAACCACACAACAGCATTTCATGAAACTTTGTAGTTAATGAGGACATAATATGTAAATGTGCATATCCACAAGAAAATTTTTGATCAGTTGACTTTTGTAGAGTTATGAGTCTTTGAACTTAGGAATCTGGTGAGATTTTGTTTGTCCACTGACAATATGGGGATGTGGGGTATTAGAGCGTGCTCACAAAGGTTCTTTAATTACCCTTCTTGTCTGCAGGGCTACTTACAGAAAAAAGTAGGACCAGAACATTGAACCCTAAAGTTTACAGGTAATTACTTGGAGATATGTACCTCTAGGATTGAGGTTCAGTTGTGTGTACTTGTCAGTCATCATGGTGGCTGTTACTGAGCCTATGTTGGTTAATACTGTTTTGTATTTGATTTATTATAAATCTAAATATATATATTCAGTGATAGAGAAGATATTAGAGACCCAGCAATATGGACGGTTTTCCTGGATTTATATCTTTACTACCTCCTTCACACAAAAGATGTTCCAGATGAGTTACATGAAGCACTGGGTTACTGTGGTAATACTTTCTGGTATCTGTATGACAGAAACCCATATAAGGTGAGATTTACTGTTCTGTACCCGATTGTCCAAAATATGCATGAAATATTTGCTACTAATGTTAAGCACAAAATAAATTACTCTGGTATGTGTCTGATTGTGGGAGACCCTAATGGGTTGTCACTAGGTTGTTTAACACACTGGTAGGTTATAAGTACCTTCATAACAGAGACCTTCATAAGGTAAGCTACATACAGCTACAAAGTGAAGGTCAGCATATAGTATATTTCTTAAAATAAAAGTATTATGCAAAAGAAAACATTTTAAAAAAATTCGGGATGTGATTTCAAATAAGTTACACAACAGCCTCATGAACATGGCCTAACTTCTACACAGCACCATCATGAACATGGACTATTTTCTACACAACACCATCTACAACCTGATACTAAAAATTCTGTAGTTCGTATATAAAAAAAAGTATAAAAAAGATTACGTTATATGGGACTTTGATAATCTACAATTTTTGTGTTATAATTGAAAGTAAAGATAGTAAAGCTATTACACCTCAGTAATATTAATTTTTAAGTGATATCAGGAATATGGATGTTCAATTTATACCAAAAAACAAGTTTCATGTTGCCTCATTTAACAGATTTGTGTAAATTTCCTGTGAGATGAATAATGCAAAATAATTGTTCACCTGTGTTGAAATTGTGTGAAAACTTTGAATCTGGAAAGATTAGCTATTGTTTCATATTTTTATTGTCGGGGCCTTTTATAGCCAACTATACGGTATGGGTTTTTCTCATTGTTGAAGGCTGTACAGTTGCCTATAATTGCTTACATCCACTTTATTTGAACTCTGGAGGATAGTTGTATCATACCTCATCTCCTTATTTTTATATAGCATGGAAATTTTAAGATTATGAACTTTACTGTGATATGTCAAATTTGTAAACAAACTATTTGTTGTTGATGTTTTATGGACATTAATCTGCAAAATGTGAAGAGTACATTAAGTAAAGATTTAAGAAGGATGTAGTTTTATGATTATTATTATTAATGTTATCTGTACTGGACGTGGTGCAAAATGAGGGGGGAACATAGTAAACACATAGAGAATGGTAGTTTTTTAAATGATATAAAGGCAAAATAGCTTGTTTTGTGCTGTTTAAAGTTTTGCAGTAATTTAGTGCTTTTTATTTACCTGTAATTGATTTTGTAGGGATTTCCAAACACAAAGGTTACTGGACAGCATATGCAAAAAATAGCAGCATTTATCCTTTCACCAGAGTTTCCCAGGGGCAATCAACTTGAAAGGGCTACTGATTATGTAGAATATTTGGCACAAATAGAGTAAGATAACAAGACTGATGATCAGTATTTCAGTTTATAGAGTCGATTAAGTTGCAAGAACAAGATTTTTCTCCAGAACAAAAAAGTACTAGTAAAAATGCTATTACCGATACTTAGTGATCCTAATAGTACTTTTTATACTTGATTTATTTAGCCTTGTTCATTTTCTTTAAAAAAAAAGTGTGATACCATTATTCATCATACATTTAAATGCTTATGAAAACACTTTCAGAAAATAAGAACTTACCCAAACTTCAAAAAAGTGTATCTTCTCTTTCTGTGGATCTTAGTCGTGTATCAGCATGGGATATGGTGAGTATAGTGAAAATGTGTCTCCTCTTTCTATGATTCTGCTCATGTATTCACAATGGATATGATGAGTACAGTGAAAGTGTACCTTCTCTTTCTAATGATCTAGTCATGTATCAGCACTTGATATGGGGAATGTGAGTACAGTTGAATATATATCATCTCATTCTTTTGTTCTACTCATGTATACGCATGGATATGGGGAATGTGAGTACAGTGGAATATATATCATCTCGTTCTATGGTTCTACTCATGTAGAAGCATGGATATTCGGAATGTGAGTACAGTGGAATATATATTATCTCTTTCTATGGTTCTACTCGTGTATAAGCATGGCTATGGGGAATATGAGTACAGTGGAATATATATTATCTCTTTTATGGTTCTACTGATGTATAGAAGCATTGATATGGTGAATGTGAGTATAGTGGAATATATATCATCTTGTTCTATGGTTCTACTCAATGTATAAGCATGGATATGGGGAATGTGAGTACAATGGAATATATATCGTATATTTCTATGGTTCAACTCATGTATAAGAAAAGTATATAAGGAATGTGAGTTTGCCAATAAGGAACTATGAAATTATTTAGAAATGTATTTTATTGTATATTTTCAGAGGAGACACATTAGCAGAATTGTGGCCAGACATGATGGCTTTATTCAAAGCTCTCAGCTTGTGTAAGAAGGCCAATGAAATGTCCAAGATGATAAGAGGATTCAGATACCTGTTTGATAAGTTGGATGATAAAGCTATGCAGGTAACTAATATCATTGGCATTTATTTTTCTTGTTATGTTCTTATTCTTAATGCGAAGTAACATATATCTGTGTTTAGAGGGCTGTACTGGGGTCATGTAACGGGAAAAGTTTATAATAAATTGATTTTTTCAAGGAATGAAAGATAAATTTTATTCTTTGCCAAGTTTGAAAATCTAATGTTCATAAAATGTGTTCAGTAATAAATAATGAAAAACGTTCAAGCACAGGGGCATGTCAGATAAAAATGAAAAAATAGGTTCTACAAAAATATTTCTGTTTCACCTGCTAAAAATATATAGATATTTATGAAATATCTTTCCTGAACTGAGATTAAAAAAATTGTGCCTTTGTTATGCATACTTTTCCAAGTTGTTAATATATATCCATTTTCGTATCATAAAAATGTCATCAATAATTTTTTAACACAATTTTTCATTCTTTGCATTTTAATTTGATAGTTTTTTTTGAAAAAAAAATAGCTCATATGATGGCATCACACAGGTGCTTAAACATTTGAAGCTGTGTGCATCTTTTGAGTTTCATTTAGAAATCCTACATTTAAATGCATCAAAAAAAATACAGATGTTACATTTCTTCAAAAATCGCTTTATGTTGTAATTGGGAAACACAGTTGTCAACCTATAAAAATAAGAAGATGTGGTATGATTGCCAATGAGACAACTCTCCACAAGAGACCAAATGACACAGAAATTAACAACAATAGGTCACCATTTATTTGTCTGATTTTGTATTATAAATTACAGAAGAATCCTAGAATCTTTCAGTCATGGGCAGAAACTGTAACTGAGGTGGTAGAGAAGATTGAACATTTCAGATTGCTTGATGACGTAGTTCCAAGAATGATTTCTGATATGGATTCTAAATATAAACCAGCCAAGTAAGAACATCTATGATGTAGCTTTACACAATAAAAATAGGGAAGTCCCAAAATTATATTTCAGGCCAACAACTTGATTATGAAATGTGACAACAGGATGTCACTGAATACAACTTACCGTCATATTTTACATGCCATGGGAAACACAATTGGTTTTGCTCCTAGTGGAGTACGAACTACTTAAATGCATACGAAACTTCAAATTTAAAAAAAAGTTGAATATATTTTATATACTTGAAAGGAAAAGTTTATAAAACTAGTGTACATGAACTTTTTTTGTAAAAAAATCCTTTTTAGCTCACCTTTTCAAAGGAAATGTGAGCTTTTGCCATTACTTGGCATCGTCGTCGTCCGTCCCATGTAAACTATTTCAAACATCTTCTCTTCTGAAACTACTGAACCAATTCCAACCAAACTTAAGCTGAATGATCCTTAGGATATCTAGAATAAAGTTTGTGTTTTGTATTTTCTGTTTTGTTAAAAAAACATGGCCGCCATGGCTAAAAATAGAACATATGGGTAAAATGCAGTTTTTGGCTTATATCTTCAAAAACTTAAGCATTTAGAGCAAATCTGACACGGGTAAAAATGTTCATTAGGTCAAGTTCTATCAGCCCTGAAATTTTCAGATGAATCTATCAACACATTGTTAGGTTGCTGCCACTAAATTGTTATTTTTAAGGAAATTTTGCAGGTTTTTTGGTTATTATCTTGAATATTGTTATAGATAAAGATAAACTATAAACAGCAAAAATGTTCAGCAAAGTAAGATCTACAAATAAGTTTTATGACCAAAATTGCCAATTGACCCCTTAAGGAGTTATTGCCCTTTTAGGACAATTTTACACAATTTGTTTATCATGTTTTCTAACTTTAAAAATCTTCTCTTCTGAAACTTCTGAACCAAATTAAACCAAACTAAAGCTGAATGATTCTTAGGTTATCTAGATTCTAGAATAAAGTTTGTGTTTTATCTTCTGTTTCCTCAGAAAACATGGCCGCCATGGCTAAAAATAGAACATAGGGTAAAATGCAATTTTTGACTTGTAGCTCAAAAACTAAAGCACTTAGAGCAAATCAGACAAGAAGTTAAAGTATTCAATAGGTCAAGGTATACCTGCCGTGATATTTTCAGCCAAATTGGGTATCTGATTTTTAGGTTATTGCCCCTGAATTGATGATTTTATGGAAATTTTGCAGTTTTTGGTTATTATCTTGAATATTATTATAGATAAAGATAAACTGTAAACAGCAAAAATGTTCAGCAAAGTAAGATTGCCCAAAATTGTGAATTGATCCCTTAAGGAGTTATAGCCCTTTAAAGACAATTTTCACAATTTGTTCATCTAGTTTGCTTACTTTAAAAAATCTTCTCCTGAATCAATTTCAGCCAAACTTGGGCTGAATGAGTTTCAGAGTATCTAGTATAAATTTTGTATTTAATTTCCTTGTACGTCAAGAAACTTTAGCCAATATGGCTAAAATGTAACATAGGGGTAAAATGCATTTTTTTGCTTTTGAATAAAATATGACAGATACAAAGAACATTTAAATGGCATTTTTAAGCCACTCATTAATATATATTGAAAAGCAAAAATAATCATTGATGAAAGATTTAAGCAAAAAAAAATTACAGGTGAGCGATTCAGGCTCTTGAGAGCCTCTTGTTTATTATCAAAATCCTCATAAATGTAATGCTATTGAATTATTGTCTTCCCGAACAATGATTTGCCAATATTTTCCCATATGCAGTGACCTTAACTACAACGAAAAAATGTAAACAAACATGCACTGGAAGATAAATAGTAATAAATGATTCTTAAAGAACAAATCATTTAACAACTGTTAAGGAAATTTAAATTCACAAATGGGAATGCATGGAAAATTTAAAAAAAGATTTATTCACTTATTTGTTATGTGATCTGTGTTGATTGCTTATCAATGTCATGATCTGGTAAAATACGGCAACAAACTTGAAAGTTAACTAGCTTGAGATCAACAATCACATGTTTCATATGACTTTAACCATCAGGTATTGATTTTGTTCTTGTGTACCAATCTTTAGATTTCTATGTAATATAGATTGTCTTTCATCTTTATTTTTCTTTTGGCTATGATGTTGTCTTTCCTCCATTGACTTGATACTGTGGATTCATATCCCTAGTATCTTGTTGAGACCAAAGGTTTATATTGGTTAAGGGGTGTTACCTGAGAGTCAATATGCAACAGTGGATACCTTCCACCAGTATATTTTTTCCTGAGGACAAGTTACAATGGTGTATAATTTCAAAATGAACTATTGCACTAGGTTACTTTTTTCATGCTTAGTATAAATATCCTTTCTTTAGTTGGGAGTTCGAAATACTCTTAGAAGTTGTTTTTTTAAGGGGGACAATAAAAAAAATTGGGTATGGGCCTTTTTGGAGGTTTAAAAAATATAAAAATCATTATGTAAAAAGAAATTATCATGTTAAAATTATACACTAGTGTAATTTGTCCTGATAAAAATTATACACAAATAATTAAAGGATAGTTAATGTCATCTGCATTTGGCTTATATTATTCTTCTAGGAAATAGGACAATGACAGACACCAAGTGATGACAATTAAGAAATCATCTAGTTTATGGAAAAAGTAACCTGTGATATTATAATGTTTTATCAAATATTGTAACCCTAGCTAAAACAAATTTTATTCATTCTTGATTTGTTTTTCTTATTTTGATACAAACCTGACCTAAACCTTTATTCATGGTTACAGTTGAGAAATATTTTATCAAAACTGAGTCAACCATATTCATAGAAGATGAAAGCTTGTTATGTCTTCAATATAAAATAAGGAGATATATATATATGACTGCTAATGAGACAACTATCCACTAGAGACCAAATGTTGTAGAAGTTAGCAACTATAGGTTGCTGTACAGCCTTCAAACCCTACAGCGTGTAGCAAGCTTGTTTATTATTCATACAATTTAATGAGGAACATAGAAATTCAAATGTAAATAAATGTATGGAGGTAATTATACCCCCGCTTTAAATAAGTGGGGGTATACTGTTTTACCTCAATCTGTCCTTCCGTCAGTCCATGCGTCAGTCCATCTGTCCCATTAATATTTTCGTCACATTTTCACAGGAACTAATTGACAAGGATTTCTGAAATTTGGTTACAGGGTGTGATGCGTTTTCAGATTCATCACTCAACAACTTCCTGTTTACCGAACACTTGTATTATTTTACACATGATAGCCAAGTTGAAAATTTTCTTCACATTTCTCTCAGGAACTACTTGACAAGGATTTCTGAAATTTGGTTTCAGGGTTTATATAAGTAAGTTACACCGTGTGATGCGTTTTCAGATTCATCACTCAACAACTTCCTGTTTACCGAACACTTGTATTATTTTACACATGATAGCCAAGTTCAAAATTTTCTTCACATTTTTCTCAGGAACTACTTAACAAAGGATTTCTGAAATTTGGTTTCAGGGTTTATATAAGTAAATTACACCGTGTGATGTGTTTTCAGATTCATCACTCAACAACTTCCTGTTTACTGAAATATTTCAGCGGGGGTATCATCAGTGAGCAGTAGCTTACAGTTTTACTTGTTTCATTGGGCGTTGACAAATATTTTGAAGGGTTAGATTCCACAATTTACCAGTCCTTAAATGTAGTCATAAAAAATAGATTTGATAAACTTGTGTTGTTTGGTTACTGTCTAATGTTCTTATAACTATAAACAATATTATGATGTATACATTACAGAGGAGATGAGAAGTATTGGTTTCCTCTAATTAAAGCTATGTGGTTAGTGCCTACCAAGGAGTTTCTTTATAGAGTTAGGCAAATATTGGATGATACCAAGTTCAGGAGGATGTGGAACTGGAAGGTATGAATTTCACTGACATTGCAACTTCTTCTTACGTTTAAAAAAAAAGATTTTTGGATTATCAATTTTTACAAATGTCTTGCTCACACAAACATTAATACCATATTAGCTGTTTGTGTTAGAAAAAAAACTGAGCAGAGAGCACAAATTCATACCCTTCCTAACTCATTGCATGGAAATGGTAAAGTCAGTGTTTTTCATAATGAACCCCAAACATTTTCAATTAAAAAAGATGGAATGTGCATTGTGCACAATGCTATTGGATACTGAAGATATTTTTCTCAGAAATGTGTTTTGAAATGCGATAGCTGGTTTTGAGGGTGTTACAAGAATGAACAAGTAAACAAACCAGAAAAAGGTTAGATGAAGGAACAAATACAACATTCACTTTAAATCCCCTCTTTACTGAATGGGGTATAAGAAGTACTCATTACACACAGTTTTGTCCTCAACTATACAGTTTTCACAATCTTTCGGCATATCAGGCCTTACTAACACAATAATTATTTGTTATCATCGATCACAAAGGATGAATTCTACACAGTTTTTGAAGGATGTGCTTTCTAGTGTTCATGTTATTAAAAAATTTCATTCTCTTACAATTTGAAATTTTGGATAATATGAAATGTTCAGTGAAAAATATTTGTCAGCTCAAATATCTTACAGACTAGACCATTATAATGAATAAAAATCAATACATGTTTTTATTGTCTGACTGCGAAAAATTTAATATGTCTTATAGTCTATAGTTACCATCTGTCATATGTCCCTTGTCCTTGACCTCATTCTTATGGTTCAGTCATTGCTATAAAAACATATCCAACTAAGTAAGACATTACGTGACTTTGGTGACGTAGCGATCCGCCATTTTGTGTCATTTTGTCCCATATAAATTGCATAGGTACTTCAATGAAGTTCAATTTTCTTATTAATCTGACCCGTTTTCTAACTTTTGCAACAATATCCTACCTAAAATTGTTGGTTCTGACAGTTTAATTTTTGATTAAATTAGATCTCTGGAGATTCGTAAAAATCGTACTTTTTCTCGTCATTTCCCTGTTGACTCGATGGTAATTCAAGTGACCCCATGTCTACTTGTACATCAAATTCACAAATTCCGTAGTTAAAAGTAATACTTTACAACTTGATTGAGAATTTTATAACAAAAATCTGGTGAAATATTCTACTTAAAACAGTTTTTTGGGCAAATTACGTCCCACATCGATTTAAAAAAGTGATTTTTAGGGATTTTTCAAAATGGCAGATGTGTTTGGAAATGTTGCATGTATTTTCGATCATCGTGTATTTTTCATGCAGAATCTGTGCCTTTTCTGTTATTTTCCTTGTTGATATTTTGATATGTTTAATTTCAAAATTTCTTGATAAAAATAAATTATTTCAAGTGCGAAGTGAAAAAAATAGCAGGAACATTTATTTTGACAGATATACTGTTCCCAGGATATACTGTTCCCAAAAAAATAGTTAACACTGAAATTTATATAAAATTATTTTGCACTTTTTTTTAGGTTTTTTCCCTTTTTTCTGTATAATTTATCTTTATTTAGAAGAATATATACATTCATTTTAGAAAAAAAATGTTTTTGTCTCGAGAGAGACAAAAATAATGCCCAACAATAGATAAATGCTCTGTACCTTTTACAGTTAATTTCCCTTGACTAACAGGTGAACTCGGGTTTAGGTTAAAATGTTACATAACAACAAATTGTCAGGTAATGTAAAGGAATCGGGTAAAACCAAAAGCCACCAGGTGACATTTACATCCTGTGTACACATGTATTTCCAGAGTTTAGATTTTATGATATACAAAAGATTTCTGAAATGTACAAATAAATATTTATTCTTTCCCGTGTACAAAACCGAAGAAATATATATCATAAAGAACTTTACGAAAATATGAATATTATGAAAAATTCTGCAATAAGTTGATTTTTGCTTAAATTAAAATTAATCAAATATTAATGTTTCACAATAATTTTAAAGAAATACTCCAATTCAAATTTTATATTTAATAGATTTTTTATTTCATAAAAAGTTAAACGAGACTTCTTTGCATATGATTTCTGTCATTTATTTGTTATGCCCCCACCAAAGCGGAGGGGGCATTTAGTTTTACCCTTGTCAGTCTGTCTGTACGTAAGACGTACGTCCGTACGTCCCAAAATTGGTTACCGTTCTCTAACTTAAGTTAATGCCTCAACCAAACATGAAACCTATACACAATACTTATTACCACAAAACTAAGATCAAGTACAAATTTGGGTAGCATCACTTTTATTGTTTTTGAGTTATGTCCCTTTGTAATGTTGTATGCAAGCGGGGGCATCATCTGTGTCCATGGGAACACATTCTCCATTTATTTAATTCAATATTTTAAGCAAAATCCAGGCATTAAAAAAAATCGATATTGAAATTTAACTTGTGTACAAAAAGATGTTATAGCATGCATTTCAACATTGTATACCTGCCAACATTATCGACAGAGTTATCGGTCCTGAATAGGACTGATATAGCTGGGTATGACTTCAGATTTTTTATGCCCCCGCCGTAGCGGAGGGGGCATTAAGTTTTACCCTTGTCCGTCTGTACGTACGTCCGTACGTCCCAAAGTTGGTTTCTGTTCTCTAACTTTAGTTTGCCTCAACCAAATGTTATGAAACTTATACACAATGCTTATTACCACTAAATACAGATCAAGTTTGAATTTAGGTGGCGTCACTTTTACCGTTATTTCTGTTATTTCTATTAATGGGACATTTACATTTGCTATATAGAGTTATTGCAAGGTATACATGTCTATCTGGCATCTTAACCTTGACCTCAATTTTATGGTTCATTAGTCAATGTTAAGTTTTTGGGATACAGTCTATTTCTCAGATACTATCAGCAAAAGGTGAACCTGTATTGCTGTATAGAAAGATTTTAAGATGTAAATGTCCTTATAACATGGTTCATCTGACTTTAATCTCATTTATATAATTCATTGGTCAACTTTAAGTTTTCATGATAAGGTCTGTTTCTCAGATACTATAAGCTATAGGTCAACATTTTGGATTGTAGAGTGATTTTAGGTGTACATTTAAGTCTGACAATGTTCCTATGACCTTAATCTCATCTCCATGGTTCTTTGATCAAGTTTAATTTTTTGTGAATAGGTCTGTTTCTCAGATACTATAAGCAATATGTTACCTTTATTTGCTGTATAGAATGATTGTAACGTGTACATGTCCATCTGTCAAGGTTCATGTAGCTTTGACTTAATTTTCATGGTTCTTTGAGCAACAGGAAATGCTTTTTGATAAGGTTCATTTCTCAGATTTTATTTGCAAAAGGTGAACTATATCCCGTATATAGAATGTTTTTAAAGTGAACATGTCCATTTGACAAGGTTCAAATGACTTTGGCCTGATTTTCATAGACAAATTGTAATGTTATGTTTTAGTGATACTTATAGCAAGGCCTTGATCTTAAAGATTTTAAACATAGAATTCAGTCAAGCAGGCAAGACATTTCAGTGTGTACACTCTTTTTATTTTATAGTAACAAAATCTCCGACAAAGTTTTGCAGTTATACATAGATCATGTTCATTGAAATTCAACACAGAATAAAGTTTCAAGATTATGCTATATTAAAATCACAAAATTAGAAAATTAAAATTTACAATTAGGAACTAGAAGTCATTTCTTTTATCTTAGATTTTAGTATTAGTTTGTGTATCAAAAATATTCAGATCTAGAAAAAACAATTTTCCTTTCTGATTAGATCTATTTAAAATCAGTTCCTGACAGGTAAAATTTTCAATTTGATAAAAAGAAGTGGGGGAATATTCTTAGCAAAAATATCACATGGATAATGGCAAATATTTTACAACTCTTTTTATAAAAAAAAATCTAGGAAGATCTTTATGGAGTTTGTACTTAACTGTAATTTGAACAATAATAATGAAGTAATAAGTCTACCAATTTTAAAGCACACATGTTGCTTATTTGAATTCCTACAATGAACTGGTGAGTGTATACAATGTCAATGGAGAGGGTTTACTAATCTAATCATCTCTCTGCAATTCCAATTAGTAAATCGAGCCTAGTATCCTTTTGGTTACAGTAAAGGATTTCTAACAGTTGTGACATATACATTGGCTATCTTATTTCTAACAGTTGTGACATATACATTGGTGTCTTATTTCTAACAGTTGTGACATATACATTGGCTATCTTATTTCTAACAGTTGTTACATATACATTGGTGTCTTATTTCTAACAGTTGTGACATATACATTGGTGTGTTATTTCTAACAGTTGTGACATATACATTGGTGTCTTATTTCTAACAGTTGTTACATATACATTGGCTATCTTATTTCTAACAGTTGTTACATATACATTGGTGTCTTATTTCTAACAGTTGTGACATATACATTGGCTATCTTATTTCTAACAGTTGTGACATATAAATTGGTGTCTTATTTCTAACAGTTGTTACATATACATTGGCTATCTTATTTCTAACAGTTGTAACATATACATTGGTGTCTTATTTCTAACAGTTGTGACATATACATTGGCTATCTTATTTCTAACAGTTGTGACATATACATTGGTGTCTTATTTCTAACAGTTGTGACATATACATTGGCTATCTTATTTCTAACAGTTGTGACATATACATTGGTGTCTTATTTCTAACAGTTGTGACATATACATTGACTATCTTATTTCTAACAGTTGTGACATATACATTGGTGTCTTATTTCTAACAGTTGTGACATATACATTGGTGTCTTATTTCTAATAGTTGTGACATATAAATTGGCTATCTTATTTCTAACAGTTGTGACATATACATTGGTGTCTTATTTCTAACAGTTGTGAAATATACATTGGCTATCTTATTTCTAACAGTTGCGACATATACATTGGTGTCTTATTTCTAACAGTTGTGACATATACATTGACTATCTTATTTCTAACAGTTGTTACATATACATTGGTGTCTTATTTCTAACAGTTGTGACATATACATTGGTGTCTTATTTCTAACAGTTGTGACATATACATTGACTATCTTATTTCTAACAGTTGTTACATATACATTGGTGTCTTATTTCTAACAGTTGTGACATATACATTGACTATCTTATTTCTAACAGTTGTGACCTATACATTAATCAAAAATATGTTAATTTTATGGAAAATACAATTTTAGGATATATTCTGGATATTTCGGTGCAGAAATATCAATTGTGCTGTCGCTATGACATCAGAAACATGTTGAAATTGACATATTAAACCAAAAATGAATGTGTAAAACATAGTTTTGCGGAAAAATTAGATAGAAGCCTTTGAATGAACTTTTGAAACGACAATAGGGGAAACATAAGATATATAAATGTTAACTTAATTTCAGGAAAATATCCAGGAGGCTAAAGACATGATAGCTAATGCAGAGAAAGTAGACCTTCCGCTAGAAGGAGATGACAGGGATGAAAGAGATGCTAATTCTGAATGTGGGAATGCTGTCAAAGAACTCATAGAAATGTTCAAGTAAGAAGGACTTTATGTTAGAGAATATTATTCCTCAAAAGTATTGGTTAATGAAGCGGAGAAAAGACATATATTTGCTAGGTATATATCTAAAGAGCTTACCAAATTAAAAATTAAAATAAATGAGAAACAGTAATAACATAAAACAGGTTTAACCAATTTCAAATGAACTATTGCATGACCTTGGAATGGAGTCTATGAGGTGCAAAATTTGATTCCAAACTGCTTGACAGATTTCAAACACATTTGCACAAATTCTAAAGGGTACGAAGTTGTGTACCTGCAATTTCATTTTTTTTAATCATAAATTGATTTCTGGTTTCAAAAACTATCCATAAACTACCATTTTCAAAGGATCTAATGGTCGCCATTTTAAAAATGGCATAGTTTTAAGATTAATACGTTAGAACTCAATGGAAAATTGTATTTCTTCTGGCAATAAATTTCATGTTTGGGTTGTTACAAGAAATCACAAAATATGATACCCAAGGAACATGTATTGCTTTTATGTTTGCATCAATATTAAATAATTGTTTGTGTGCCTCACAAGAAAGTGTGAAAGAGGGACCTCTGCTGGTGAGTTATCTAGTGGCATTATACCATTGCTTTATTTAATGATATTGCTTCATCATCCATGTGCATGCTTTAATTTTTAGGAGAATATGAGGCTCCTTAATCATACTTCACTGACTTTGAAATGTTTACTTTGTTCAGATCTTGTTTTCTGATTCACTGTGTAGTAGTAGTCAAAACAAAAATTTAATCATTTAAATTGATCTTAAAACTAAATTTCTGGAAAAAATCAAACCTATTTGGGAAAAATACTACCACTTTTGAAAAAATTAGAAAAATCATATCATTAGCCATAACAAAAAAAATGTTTGCTTCTCAAGACCTGCAGTGTTCCACTTTACTATTTTTAAAAAAACATTTGAAAATCCAAAAACATTTTATCATTAGCTTCAGGTTAGAGTTATTTCCAGTAGTTGAACAAAATTTTCCTGCAACAATAATTTTGGGGTGCAAGTCAGTTCTGGTGATAAACTTCCTTTAAACTGACAATTTGGAAGATGGAAAAGAAAAGGTATACATGCTCCTAGAGAATTGTTTTATTAAAGAACATGTTTTTGGAATTGGAAACCAAAACATTTTATTCCAGATTTATATTCTCTATACCAAATTTACTAGTATTTGTATATACACAGATCCTGCTATTATGAATCAAATTTTAAAATAGGGCTTTTTAAAACAAACAAATTATTTTAATGGCTTTTGTGGATTTTTATGGCCCAGACACAAAGTGGTCAGGCCATATAGTTTTACCCTTATCCGTCATTCCCCAACAAACAACTATACAGACTTTTTTTTTAAACGCCTTCACATATTGAGCTGATTTTAAGTATGTGAGTCTTCTATGATGAGTGGGCGGCCTCGGTGGCCAAGTGGTCTAAGTAGTTACTACTGTAATCACTAGCCAGTCAACACTGAGGTTGTGAGTTCGAACCCCGCTCGTGCGGGTACACACGACTCCAATCTCAATTGACTAGGATTGTCAGTTTTCCTATAGAAGGTCAGTGGTTTTCTCCGGGCACTCCGGCTTCCTCCACCAATAAAAACTAGCCGCCACGAAATAGCCCAAAAGTGGCGTTAAAACATCAAAAATCAAAATCAATCTATGATGAGTTACAGATCAAGTTTAAATTTTGATTCAGCTCCTCTGATTTTTGTCAAAATTACAGGCTTTGGCTTTGAAAATTATGTGAAAATAACAGTTATGTGGATTTTTTTTCTAAACCCCTTCAAATATTTGAGCTGATTTTCAGTTTGTGAATTCTATGATGAGTTACAGATTGAGTTGACACTTGGTTCCGCTACTCTGATTTTTGCTGAAATTACGGGCTTTGGACTTCGAAAATTATGTGAAAATAACAGTTATACAGACTTTCATTCTCTCAAATTTCCACTCCTAAAAATGGCTTCAAGCTTTTTTGCCAGTGGGGCCATTTGTCTCGTTCTGACACATTTAGTTTTAATTAAGTTTGTTCATGAAAAGACTTAACAGTATTTCTTTATGTATACATGTGTGTGTATTGCAGGATACTGAAAATAGAGCACCTTATTATGCCTGACATTGCACGAATGTCTTTGTCACGCATGGAAAAGAGGTCAATTCTCCAGAATTATATGGTCGATCAATACTTTGGAGATATGGATTTTCAGGTAAAGTTTGCTTACTGCTCATCTGTTACTACTTTATAAGGGATTTTGTTACATTCATTGATAAATAAAAATGAATTAATTTAGCCAGAAGGAACCTGTAAAAAAATTCTCTTAAACATTACAATCTTTGACCATAAATATCTTTCCCTTTATGTTACTATGGAAATACTTTTCTTTAAATTTGCAAGGTTTTCAAATTGTAAGTTGAGGCAAACAATGAAATTTTGTGGTTTATGAAAACAGTGTTGGTTTTGGTTTTTTTATGCCTCCCCCGTAGCGAAGGGGGCATTAAGTGTTACCCTTGTTCATCCCGAACGTCCTCAAAATTGGTTTCTGTTCTCTAACTTTAGTTTGCCTCAACAAAATGTAATAAAACTTATATACACAATTCTTATTACCACAAAACACAGATCAAGTTCGCAATTGGGTGGCGTCACTATTACCGTTCATGAGTTATGCCCCTTTATAAACATAAAAATTACTGAATTTTTCATTTCCATTCTCTAACTTTAGTTTGCCTCAAACAAATGTTATAAAACTTATACACAATGCTTATGACAGCAAAACACAGATCAAGTTAAAAATTGGGTGTGGTCACTTTTACTGTTCATGAGTTATGCCCTTTCATAAACATAACAATTACTGAATTTTTCGTTTCCGTTCTCTTAACTTTAGTTTGCCTCAACCAAATGTTATAAAACTTATACACAATGCTTATTACTACAAAACACGGATCAAGTTTGAAATTGGGTGATGTCACTTTTACTGTTCATGAGTTATGCCCCCTTATAAACATAAAAATTACTGAATTTTTCATTTCCGTTCTCTAACTTTAGTATGCATCAACCAAATGTTCTGAAACTTATACACAATGCTTAAAATCATAAAACGGTCTTAACTACGTGAATCCTGCATCTGTATGTGGAAGTTGACTCAAGCATATTTACAAACGGGGGCATCTGTGTCATTCTCCAATTATTTTATATGTGTTGTTATGACTTTCCTGGTTGAAAGCGCCATGAATTAAACAAAATCCATAAGCCTAACAGACCTACAATAGTAGGGAGGCATAGTGTTTTCATTTCTGTGATTCCAATAATCAGTCCATCTCTTTGTCTGTCCTTTTGATCTGTTTCAGTTTTAAAAAAATGACTTAATAAGGTAGTTATACACAAAGTTGAGGTCACATTAACTTGAAATCAAGTACATATGTTGATTTTTTATGTGAACTTTTTTTAGCTCACCTGGCCCGAAGGGCCAAGTGAGCTTTTCTCATCACTTGGCGTCCGTCGTCATCCAGCGTCTGTCGTCATCCCGCGTCGTCCGTCGTCGGCGTTAACTTTTTACATTTTAAACTTCTTCTAGAGAACCACTGAATGGAATGAAACCAAACATGGCATGAATGTTCCTTATGAGGTGCTGACCAAGTGTTGTTACTTTGTAGCCGATCCATCATCCAAGATGGCCGCCAGCGGGGGACTTAGTTTAACATAGGACCCTATGGAAAATACATACAAATGTCTTCTTTTAGAGAACCACTGAATGGAATGAAACCAAACATGGCATGAATGTTTCTTATGAGGTGCTGACCGAATGTTGTTACTTTGAAGCCGATCCATAATCCAAGATGGCCGCCAGCGGGGGACTTAGTTTAACATAGGACCCTATGGGAAATACATACAAATGTCTTCTTTTAGAGAACCACTGAATGGAATGAAACCAAACATGGTATGAATGTTCCTTATGAGGTGCTGACCGAGTGTTGTTACTTTGAAGCCGATCCATAATCCAAGATGGCTGCCAGCAGGGGACTTAGTTTAACATGGGACCCTATGGGAAATACATACAAATGTCTTCTTTTAGAGAACCACTGAATGGAATGAAACCAAACATGGCATGAATGTTTCTTATGAGGTGCTGACCAAGTGTTGTTACTATGAAGCTGATCCATAATCCAAGATGGCCGCCAGCAGGGGACTTAGTTTAACATTTGACCCTATGGGAAATACATACAAATGTCTTCTTTTAGAGAACCACTAAATGGAATGAAACCAAACATGGCATGAATGTTTCTTATGAGATGCTGACTGAGTGTTGTTACTTTGAAGCCGATCCATAATCCAAGATGGCTGCCTGCAGGGGACTTAGTTTAACATGGGACCCTATGTGAAATACATACAAATGTCTTCTTTTAGAGAACCACTGAATTGAATGAAACCAAACATGGCATGAATGTTCCTTATGAGGTGCTGACCGAGTGTTGTTACTTTGAAGCTGATCCATAATCCAAGATGGCCGCCAGCGGGGGACTTAGTTTAACATGGGACCCTATGGGAAATACATACAAACGTCTTCTTTTAGAGAACCACTGAATGGAATGAAACCAAACATGGCAAGAATGTTCCTTATGAGGTGTTGACCAAGTGTTGTTACTTTGAAGCTGATCCATCATCCAAGATGGCAGCCAGCGGGGGACTTAGTTTAACATAGGACCCTATGGGAAATACATACAAATGTCCTCTTTTAGAGAACCACTGAATGCAATGAAACCAAACATGGCATGAATGTTCCTTATGAGGTGCTGACCAAGTGTTGTTACTATGAAGCCGATCCATAATCTAAGATGGCCGCCAGCGGAGGACTTAGTTTAACATAGGACCCTATGAGAAATACGTACAAATGTTTTCTTTTAGAGAACCATTGAATGGAATGAAACCAAACATGGCATGCATGTTCCTTTTGAGGTGCTGACCAAGTGTTGTTACTTTGAAGCTGATCCTTCATCCATGATGGCTGCCAGATGGGGACAATGTTTAACAAAGGACCCTATGGACAATACATACAAATGTCTTCTTTTGGAGAACCACATACTGAATGGATTGAAACCAAACATGGCATGAATGTTCCTTATGAGGTGCTGACTAAGTTTTGTAACTTTGAAGCTGATCCTTCATCCGTGATGGCCGCCAATGGGGGGACTTCCTTTAACATAAGACCCTATGGGAAATACATACAAATGCTTCTTCTAGAGGTGCACTGAATGGAATGAAACCAAAACATGGCATAAATGTTTCTTATGAGGTGCTGATTAAGTGTTGCTACTTTGTTCCTGATTTACTGTTCAAGATGGCCACCAGGATTTTTTATTAAATTACAGGACCAATATTAAACCAAATTTGGCCTCACTCATTATTAGGGTATCTGTTATGATTTTAATCTATTTTTACATGATTTCCAAAACCAAAGTAGAATCAGGTGAGCGACACAGGCTCTTGAGAGCCTCTAGTTTTTTTTTTTAGATATAAGGCAAATGGTGTCCAAGGTGTCCAGTGGACACATATTCTTGTATGTTTATCAATTTACTTTCTTAAACTGTGATATATTTTGCAGAAATGTACAGATGTTCTTCCAGAGTTAGCAAGGCGTTTTGAACCTTTAATAACAGATGAAGACTATCCATGGCTAGATAATTGGGTTCGCAGTAATGGGGTTGACTTATTTAACTACTTTATAGAATCTTACAAGTAAGTTATTTTGTTATGAATTTATTGCTTGTAAAAAGTCAAATATATATACTCAAACATTTTTTAATTCTTTGAAAATGTTTTTCCTATGTTTTGTTATATTTGGCTTTCTAGTTAATAAAAATTTACAAAATTTCAACCAAATCATATCATTTCAAAAGACTAGATCAACGATAAGCAGAATTTTTGATTTAACACAATTAGAATTAATTTTTACCATAAGAAAAATAGGTTTAACAACTCGTTATTTAATTCAAATAGTAATAATAAATTTGCACTGCACGTTTATTATTATATTGAAATTAAATAACTTGAGTTGATATCAAGCGATATCCCATTCTCACTCGTTATGAAACCTATAAATATTGTGATCACCTTGAAAAATTATGGTTGATAACCCCAACCTCCACTAATACTGAAAATGGATAATTTGCCAAAAGATCAATAGAAAATAAAAAAAAAAAAAACTTGCAAAGAACTAATTGTTTGACAAAAAATTACATTAATAATTATAAACAAGAGTCAGGACATCCTGAAATGTCTAGCCAGCTTTAGTGGTCTTTATGGAATTTTATGTTGAAAGTCTTCTTCAGGTATTATATAAATTGAGTTAAAAGTCAGATGAACCCTGACAGACATTTGCACTTTACAAATCATTCTATACCAAATATAGTTGACTTAGTGCTTAAAGTATTTGAGGAATAGACTTAATCACAAAATTTAAATTGATTACAGATAAATTATGAAAATGAGGTCAATGTTAAAATAACCCTGCTAGACAGACATGTTTGCCTTACATCATTCTATATGGCAAATATAGTTTTACTATTTGTTATAATATCTGAAATATTGACCTACATCAAGAAAACTTCTATGTTGACCAATGAACCATGAAAATTAGGTCAAGGTCAGGTGATTTATGTTGAAGACCAAGATTGTGAACTGTAGATCCAGATTTGTATTTTCAGATCCTCAGAAGATATACCAGATGAAGTAAACCAGATAATGATCAGAATTCTTAGTTTTTGTATGGAGGATGGGAGAGAACTGATCAATTTAGAAGATGGTTCAGATACTGTTTGGGGAATGATAATTCGCAATAGTCCTTCATTTGTGAGCAAGGTAGGTAGTAGATGATTTAAGATATAAGTAAATAATACATATAATAAATTATTAGTAAATAATACATATAATAAATTATTAGTAAATAATACATATAATAAATTATTAGTAAATGATAAATGTAATAAATTATAACAATAATAAATAATGATAAGTAAGCTTAAATTAGTGTCAGCATAGTATACAAAAACAAATACATAACATAAGCTCTATTTTCTTGTGAACTGCATAACAGAGCTTTGTGAAACTAGTTATTAGGGTTCAGGCATGTTAATATCCTAAACCTTGTGATTAATTTCATATTCATTTATTATCAACTTCATGTTTACCGAATACTTATGAATTTTTTCATATAATGACCATTTATAAACATTTAGTCACATTTTTCTTGGAAACTTTGTATCAGAGCACCCTGAAATTGATTTCAGCATTCATTTTAATATGCTATACCTTTTGATGAGTTTTCATATTCATTTCGCGTCAACTTCATGTTTACCAAATGCTTATAACGGGGATAAAGAAATACATGTGTGCGCTGAATTTAACTGTCCTAGCTCACTAATGGTTAAAATCTTTATTATGAATTGAACTGTGAAAGCAGTTTACAAACCTTGTGCTTAGTGAGACAATTCTTATTTGATAATATACTTACTGTATAGACTTTGATTCAACATTTTTTAGCTTATAAGAAAGTGAATGTTATTTGTATTTGATCTGGAGCTAAAGACAATGTTGAGATGTATAATCTATGCAGTTTTTAGATCATTAGCATATTCCTGTTAACTAATTGTTTGAAATTTTGAATAATCTAAGATTTCTCGTCTGAAAAGGAAAGATTAGGTTGTCTCTATTTGAAAGGGGAGCATTGTGAAATACAAGGCACCTGTCTGTCCACTACGTCTTGTTAGCACTTTAATTTCAGCCGACATTTCTTGTCAGATTTTTATTAAATTCAATCCGGTTTATGTCTTATTGGCATTTGAATGGCCATATGATTTTGGCCCTACTCTTAACTTTTGAGGCTATAAAATTATGTGATGACAGCTAAAGATAGTATACCTTGAGTTTTAAAGTCCCCAAAGAAGCTTAAATGCATTAAATATTAATGACACATGAAAGAATTTTTAATGTTATATTATTTTTTTTTTTAACTTTTCTTGTCCCTCTTCCAATTATTTATTTTCAACAGAGCTTTTTATTAAAGGGGCACTAGCTATGAGATTTATAAAAATATAAAGTATGATTTTTTTTGTTCAATCATTAATGAAAGTTAAATAATGAAATAATAATTCGCTTTTAGCAGCCAGTATGGTTCAATTTTGTCAAATTAAGCTAAGAAACATTGATGATGAATTATTCACTTGCAAGTGAATAATTCGACCTCATTGAATCGGTATTCATGTGAACTTCAATTTAACCCCTTAGCTAGAGATGGATAACGCATGCATTGTTCGTGTTCGGTTATTTAAAGCAAAAAAATGTCAACATTGAAAGTGAAACAAAGGTAAATCATTTGATTGACTGGTTCAATCCACAAAAATCATTCTTATACAGGTAAAAACGATGATTAACATATATCTTTAATATGAAATTAAACAGACCTAGAAAAATCCAATTGCACGAGTTTCGCTTTCTATTTATATCTATATTTATGTTTATATCGCTTATATGACCATCAGAGGTTTCCAGAGGTCAACTCGATAGTTAATTAGATGGCGTCAAGACTAAAATACACACGAAACGAAGCTACATATTATCGAGCTCATGCCCTGTAAATTGTTTATTTTAGACTTTTTATGATTTGGATAAATGTTTTACATGGTTATAAATCAAATATGAGAATATGAGTCAAATCGGTGAACATGAATTTGACAGCTAGTGCCCCTTTAAGCAATGGAATAATGAACTTTGTTAGCACATACTATCTTTGTTTGTTTTTAGCATTGTAATGGTGATACTGGTAAAGTTGTTATACCTGTTTTAGAGAAATTGCTCAAATATCGACATTCAGATGAAGAATTCTTGCGAGAAGCCTGCACAAATTCAATGCAAATAGCTGGTCACACATGTCCTGAAATATGTGCTGATTTTTTTGGACCATTGTTGGATTGGTATATTGAAGAACCATCAATGAATTTGATGAGTATGTTATTTCACGCAGAATTAAGAATAGTTCACTTCATTTAAATAGTTTGATGTACAAGTGTACATGTGACTGTGTGAAAAAAGACAACTGCATTAATTATCTGTTCTGTTCAGCTCTTTGCATAAATTTTTGTCCCTGTTTGTCATTTTCAGTAATTTGTAATATCTGATATTATTTCATTATAACCAAAACCAAACATAATGGCATTCAGTAGCACATAGTTCTCATTGAAACCCTATGGAAAAACACATTTTCATCTTCTTTTCGGAAACTACACAGCCAATGCAAACCAAACTTGGTAGGAATGATGAATTTAAGATTATTCACACAATGGTCCTCATTTGGTCATGATAACATGAGAAACATGGTCACCAGAGGCACTAGAAAAATTTATCCTCTAAAATTTCTAAGAAAAATGTTTTTGAAACTTTAAGGAACTGATGGCTTCATTGTCTGAGACCCTTTACTAACAATCCTCATTTCATGCTGACTGAGTGGCACATACGGCTACATTGGTGGCACATATGGCTGCATTTGTGGCTCATAGTTTCAAGAAAACAATATGGAAAATCATATCTTCACCTGCTTGTCTGAATCTTCTCAGCCATTTTGAACCAAACTCAAGACAGGATTTGGTCCAGTTTGAATGAAAAATATGGCTGACTTGATCTGATTTTTAAGATTTCTTTCTTCTGATGTTGTATTTTCTAAATGGGATTCCAAAAAGATTTCATTTCAATTTGAGATCTCAAATGTTATTAAACATTTTCTTTCACATTCAGACAAACCAGGTTAGGCTGGGTAAAGGGTCAACTTCTGATCAAACTTCTTTTGAATGAAGTAATGAAAATGAAATGCATTTTTAAGGCAGTTTCAGGTGCCAAAGCACCATGCTATTTTTAACATAACATCTTGCAGGAACTTAAGTCAATATTATGTTTAAATACCTCAGCAGAGCAATACAGGCTGTTTGAAGCCTCTAGTTTATATCAATGTGAATCAATAGTTAAAAATATGAAATTGTTAAGGTACTAATCATACTATCGTATCTAATATTGGAAGAAAAGGATTGGCATTTTAAATTCCGTCATGCAATATTAATATGGAAAACAGCATCCCCTTGCCTTATATTATACAAGATGTTTTTTTTTTCTTTTCAGGTTTTTTTTATAGAGTAGTTGAACTTAGTCCTAATGCCTTGAAAAGCAGAATGGATAAATTCCTTGATACCTGTAAAGATGACAAAGAGACATGGACTCTTCAGATCCAAGTATTTTATGCTCTTTCAAATAAATATCCAGAGGTATGTTAGAAGCATTGCTACAAATGCTTTCAGTTTAATATGGACATATAGGTGTAATACCACCAAATCATATAACCTCACATCCGGTTTTATACGAAAAAGGTTTGAAAAAAAATATGCCCTTTAATTTGACAGAAAAATTCTGAGTCATATATCTTGGGTGTTTCAAAGCACCACTATTTTTTTATTTGGTGTTTCTATAAAAATATTTTGAAAACTTGAGGTTACATGGTTACTAAAGCTTGTAAATAGGAAAAAAAGGGGTGAAAATTTAATTGGTTAACTTCAAGTGATGGTTATTATCTTATATGCAATGTAATGTTATGTGAAATTTTGTCTGTACATGTATTACTGGACAGGATAAAACTTTATTTATGCCAAGTATTTCTTTATTTGAAACAAAGATACATTCTGACTTTTTTTTTGGAAAAGTGCCAATTTAACAAAGACTAATAGGGGAAAAACAATGGTGGTATTTATACTCCAGACTATACATGCAGGAATAGTGTTGCAAATTGTTTATGATATGAAAATATTTTTGTAAAAATTTGAAATTAATTCAAAACTCATGTGTTTTAAATTCTTAATCAGTCAATATATACAGTGTTTTAAAAAATGTCCAAGGACAGTTGACAAAATCCTTTACAAGAAGATGATGACAAAGGCTGATTTTAAGTTACATAAATTAGTCAGTCCTGTCTCCACAATAGTATATTTTAGACTGATGTATTTCACTTTAAAATGTATTACATGAATTTAGGAGTGTATTTCACTATAAAATGTTTTACACAATTTTAAGAGTGTATTTCACTATAAAATGTTTTACACAATTTTAAGAGTGTACTTAGTCCAGGAAACTGAGAACAATTTATAGTGGTTTCTGATGTCTATGAACTTTCAATCATTATATTATCAGAAATAGATTTATTATAACCATGATTAGTCTTTATCTTCAATCTTGGTTCTATTTGTGAAAAGGTGGGAGAAGTAACCATTATGTCAGTTTCAGTATTATTGAATGAAATTTTTGTCTTCACAATAGATGATAACTCAAAAAGTGGCAGACACGTTGATGAACTATCATTACAGTGATAGCGATAACAGAATACAAGTTTTGATGATTATGGAGAAAGCCACTAAAGTCAACCCAATCATTTTTGAAAAATATATGGACAAGTTGATTGGAGACAAATCAGTTACTGCAATGGAGCAGCATTTTGTGAATAATACACTAGTAAATGTGACCAAGGAAATTAAGGTTGGTAATTTGTCATTTAACCCTAACAACAGTCAAGTATTTTTTTTAAATAATTCCTTTCAAAACATCATCTTGCATTTAAAATGTCTTAACTCTGTTATCAATATTTGATACACTATATAGAAATAAGGAGATGTGGTATGATTGCCAATGAGACAACTATCCACCAGAGTTCAAATGATGGAGATATGTAAGGCCACCGTTCTGCCTTCAACATTAAAAAAAAACATAACATATAGTTGGCTATAAAAGGCCCCAACATGAAAAATGTGAAACAATACAAACAAGAAAACTAACGTCCTAATTAAAAACAAAACAAATATGACAGACATGAAACAATGACAACCACAACTACAGGCTCCTGATTTAGGACAGGAACATAAAGAATATGTGGGGTTAAACATGTTTGTGAGCGCTCAGCCCTCCCCCTAACCTGGAACAGTGGTGTTACAGCACAACATAAGAACAATCTGTAAAAATCAGTTGCAATATGCTTAACTCAAAAGATTGGTACGAGGCACAAAAACTACTAACATAAAAACAATAGACACAAAACTCTGAAATAAGTGTGCTCACAGTTACTGAAAGGTAGTTTAAAGCCAATTACAACTAATAAATAAATCATATTCTCTCAGACTTAAGCCTTTTTTCAACAAAGTTATTAATGTCTTAAGAGAAGCAAGACAAAGTTGAATCATTATTTAAGAGATCTGAATAATCTCCTATTTCAAAAATAACGTCTTACAGTGTAATAAAAGTTTTTTGTAGTTTTTTTTAACAAATGAAAATTACACTTATTTCATGCTTTTAGAATCAGCAACACTCAAAACCAGACAAAGCAAAGGATTTTTTAAATATCTTTATTACTGTTGTTGCATATACAAAAACAGAAAAATAGCTTACTGTGGATTTATTATTATTCGTTGGATACCAATTCTTGTGGACTTTGTGGGTAATGGGGAGCCACATTTTTCGACAAATTACAAATTTTCTACAGGAATGTATGACTTTGGCAAATCCACAAAATCAAATATCCATGAAAATGCAAATTTTCCCTATTCCACGAAAAATTGCATGTGCACTGCTGCGTAGCAAAGCTGACATGCTCCAGTCTTGTTCTATTATTTTTATCAATTGATCAGTTTGGTTAATGCTGCAAACTACAATGATTGGTGGAATCATTTATCTTGTCACAAAGACAAGTCTGCATATCGTACAGTCAAGTAGCAGATTAAGGATTACATTTGAATCTTATTAGTCCCCTACCGACGAAGTTGAAGGGGACTTAAGGTTTGCACTCCGTCCGTCTGTCTGTCCATCCGTCATTCCGGCAAATCAGTTTTCCACACTTTTTTCTTTGTGCTTGAAGATATTGATTTGATATTTGGTGTATTGTTTTATCATGACAAGCTACAGATCAAGTTCAAATATTGTTTAGGTCTGATGATTTTGTGCAGAGTTATGGTCCTTGGACTTAGAAAATTCACTCAAATAATCATTTTCAGCACTTTGTTTCGTCATGCTTGAAGATATTGATTTGTAGTTGGTATATAGGTTTATCATGACAAGTTTCAGATCAAGTTCGAATTTTGTTCCAGTCTGATGATTTTGTGCAGAGTTATGGTCCTTGGACTTAGAAAATTCACTCAAATAATCAGTTTTCCACACTTTGCTAGAAGATATTGACTTGCTATTTGTTATATAGTTTACACCATGACAAGTTACATGTATAGATCAAGTTAGCATTGTGTTCCAGTACAATGAATTTTTAACCGGTAGGGGACTATGTATTGCCATGCAATACTCTCAGAATGCTTGTTTAGCTCTGCTATACATTAAATTGCTCTCAGTAGATCCATTTGTTTATAAATAGCTAGAGACTGCAATATAAAATTTGTTTTACAGAAATTCAAAGATCCTGTTTTCAACTATCTTATGAGTGTGTTGAAGGTAGCTACAGATGTTACTCAAGTTTCAGTAACATTGATAGGACTACGTGATCTGTGTGTGATTTATGGACCAGAAATGTTTGGTCCACATATGGACTATCTTACACAAAAAAAACAGAATGAACAAAGTACAACTATTCAACAACAGATAGTTGCATTGATTGATCAAATAGAAGGAAGAAGGTAAGCTTAAGCTAGAAAATAAATATGACCAAATTTTGTATACAAGTAGTCAAAGGATCGGGTGTAATAAGAGCATTATTTGACCTAATTTTTTACTGAAATTTGAACTATTCATTTAAAGATTCCATTTATGTCTCTTTTAAATTTGAGTGAATTTAAAATTAGGAACGTTAGATTTAGATTAATGACGTCACAGTAAATGTAGTTATGACATCACAGAAAAGGCAATTTGTGAAAACAGTTTGGGAAATTTAAGCTGAGTCCGATTTTTTTGTTTCTTTTGCTGCCGAGAACAAAGCAATAATTAAGCACACATGAAAAAAAAACCCAGATATACGGTAGTTTACCTTAAAACCTTCATGTTAATATTTTTGTGGCACTTGGACATGCATATTCTTGTTGATCATACTTCAATATATAATTTACAACTTCAGTTTGGAAACAGTAGCCCAAGATGTGAAAGAAACTCAGGAGGATGTGGAACAATTAGACGAAAGAGTGACAGGTGCAGAAGTGGCTGTAGTAGGACTGACCACTCGTGTGGATGAACAAGAGGAAAACATTGAGGAATTAGGGGAGGGACTTGATACTGTGACTCAGAGGGTAGACTTTGCTGAGAAAGACATTGAGGAGACTAAAATTAAAGTGGAAGAAGTTGACATGAAGGTATTTATATGTATATTGAAATTAGGTTTAAAACTAATATTTTGATATTTTAGAAAGAACATAAATATTTTTGAAAAAACCTATGTAAGATTTTTTATAGCAATATTATCGGAAGACAAAAGTACTGAACCAGTTCCTTCATAACTTTACAAATATCATTTAAAAATTTAGATATTTATAGCAGTTGATTAATTTCATCTTTTCAGACAATGACTAATGCACCTCGATGGTCAAGAGATTTGACAAAGATAATGAATCCACAAACAGAACATGATTGGAGATTATTGGCCCAACGTCTTGGTTACAGTAAGGATGACATCAGAGCGTGGGCATCACAACATGATCCTTGTATGGCTGTTCTCAGTGAATGGTATGCTACACACAAAACAAGGGAGGCAAACTATGCTGTCTTAACAGCTTTACAGGAAATGAACCGAATGGATGGTGCTGCTATTGTGGAAAATGCTATGAAGGCTGTTGGTAAGGGGCATAACTCATACTTAATACTGCAATAGATTGTGCCTTTGTAGACTATGTTAAAAAGGCAGAAAATGAAGGATATAGTTTTTTTGGTTTTTTTTTTAAAGCAAATAAGTATATTTGGTCCTGCTATGGTGGAAAAGGCTACACAAGAAACATGTAATATAAGGGGAAGTAATTATTTCATGGTAGCTTTTAGTTAGTTTAATAGCAAAGGTTTTTTAACATGATAGATGATGGTTTTTATACTCTTAAAATGTTTTAATGTTTTTTATCTGTTATTTTTGTAAGAAATATACTTAAAGTTGTCCAGACTTTTTATATTCTTTTAGATATTGAACTCATTTTTGGTGTGCTGTTGGAATACAAATATGTTACAGATATTTTTGATTTGTTTGGGGTAGACCATTTTAGATGGAATTTTCAAGGCCCTTGAACTTAGAAAATCTAATGAAAGTAATATTTCTGATTTTTTTTCACTATGCTCTCAGATATTGAACAGATTTTAAATGTTAAATTGTTTTATAAGTTACATATAGAGTTTCCATTTCGTCCTAGTTGACCTACTTTTTTCAAATGTTATGAAAAATTCTTTATTTCAAGATTGTTACTTGTGTCATTACAGGCAAGTGCAGGTCTAGTAATCCTTCCACTTAATTTGTAAGCCCCTCTGTCCCAAACATAGAAGAAAAAAAGTAAGGTTCATTCATGATTCCAACATTTTCCTTTCAACATTATTCAAACTTTACACAAAGTGATTGCAGATTAACATGATTAAAGATGTATTAAACCTCAATTTTGTTTTATTAATTTGAATTACTTTTTTCTCTGGTTTCCCATTTGTGAATCATAGTCCATTTTTTCATTGAATACTAAAAGAGGGTACCAAGTTTGATTCAATTGAACCTCAAACAGTTTCCCTCCAAACAATACTCTGTTAAAAATCAACATTTTTTTTTCAGCTGATGTTGTAGAAGATGATGAAGTAGATTACGCCTCCCCTCCTGCTGTGTTCCTTAGTTACCAGTGGGGTCATCAAGATGAGGTCAAACTTATCCGTAACCACCTACAAATGGCAGGATATGAATGTTGGATGGACATAGGTCAGATGGGAGGAGGAGATAAATTATTTGAGAAAATTGACAATGGTATCAGAGGAGCAAAAGTCATCATTTGTTGTGTGTCAGAAAAATATGCACAGTCTCCAAATTGTAATAGAGAGGTAATTGCAGAACAAGTGTTGATTTATATTTTCATACAATTGTTTAATTATTCAAAAAGAAAACAACTCTACTCCAGAATCAAACGCATGTGGTGCATGGAAGGCACTTTTTTACACCCGAACTACCCAATATAATAAATATGAATTTTCATTTTAATTATGATTCTTATGAAATTCTAAAGAAAATGAAACCACCAAAAATTAATTAATTTGAGTGCCTCCAATACTTCACCACATTCAATTTTGGAACAACCCTCAGGATGAAACGCAAGTTGATGGAAACCAAATCACCTAATGCTTTCAACATAAGTAATTGCTTAACTTTATGTAGTTGACAAGTTGTTCATTGAAAAAGACTTTTAGATAATCTCATTTCTTTCTGTTAGTTAAGTTGGAATTAATGAGTATTATGACAAATTCAGATTTCAGATTTTCCCTGCAGAAGCTGATGATATAGCGTTTTATTATTTGATTGTGGTTCAAAGATGTATGCCCAATTTTATTCAACTTGCTTCTATGTTTAAAAGTTTTTGAATGATTGGTATTTTTTCCATATAGTCCTTTTGCTCTCCTCTGAAATTAGATTACAGGTAAACTTTTTGTTCATAGTGTAATTCAATTTTGGGGTATTTTTGTGTATTTATAGCCCCCTTACTTCCATCTCACTTAAAACCAATGTTACAGCCTCCAAATGTAAGTCATTAAGTATTAATTTCTTTCAGGTAAATTTGTCGGTAAGCTTAGGTAAGCCAATGATACCTCTGCTAATGGAGAAAATGGGTTGGCCACCAAAAGGATCCATGGGACCTATCTTCAGCGAGTATCTTTTTGTTAGGTTTTTCCAGCGAGCTGGAGAAGAGACTGATGATAACCGAATTTGGCCTGTTGCCAAGTTCCAGGAAATGCTGATGCAGCTGAATTGTTATGGTATTCTGCCAGATGAAACATTGATTGATGATAGTAAGTATTTTTGCTTGCAAGATCTACACAATGATATAAAAGTTTGTCTCGCTTTGCCAAAGAAACAGGAAAAAATCCAATTTAAAGACAAATTAAAAAATGAAACTTCCATAAAATTACTTTTATACTTATTTTGGCATTGCTTATTTGTTTGGTTTGTTCAGTTGTTTGTTTATTTGGAGAATAAAAGTTCATGATTAATTTAGAATTTGTTTTCCATAAAAAATGATATTTTACATGTACATGTATTAATTAAGGTAGCATAACAATCTGATTTATGGAAATGTTTTGTTTTGTATGTCCTGGTCGAGGACCAGTTACCTTCAGTTACCAGTTACCATCACCTGGCATTTTATGCAAGAATGGAAGCATTTTGTAAATACAGCATTTTGCTATTATCTGCACACTATAAATTTCATAACTGGTCCTTGCACTCGAAAAATTTCACACAAAAAATCGCCACAATAGTACCCAACTTTACCTTAGTTATGAGAGGATTTGCAGTCATAGTCTATGTTGTTAGATTATGTTAAAAAAATATGTGCCCATGGAATTCCTCTTTAAAAAAAATTGAGAAAAACTGTGAATTTCTGATGGTAACTGGTAGTGGACCATTAGTTATGTGATTTTTGCATAACGGGAAAACAAATTATGTTGTATAAAAATGGAGAATCAAAAGATTTGGAAAATTAAAACTACACCATTCCTTTGTTTAGTGAAAGAAAACTAACATTTGGTTATAATGGTCTGTTATTTATGGTATACCTATTAATTCAATCTCATTAAGATGATCACACTTGATTCATTCGATTCATGATATACTTAGTCTTTTATCAAGTAATAATAGGTAAACATTAAAATTAAAGTATTCTATGATGATGTATCATCTTTGAATAAGTATTCATAAAATGAAAAATATTTTTTCTCTCAACAAAATTTGGTTCCCCCAAAATAAATGAATTGACAGTTTTAGAATTGTTTTCTTGAACAAATGTGAATCTTGCTTAGATATTTACTGGTACACAGAATTAATGTCTTCAACGAAATTAAATTAAAAGGGGGATTGGGTTTGAGAGTGATTTTGGTTTCTCCAGCAACCAGCAGTAGTTTGTTCATTTATAAAGAAGTGAGAACCAGAACCTTTATTGGGTATAACCTATTTTTTTTTATTAAATTGAGTGATTTTGTATTAACAGTGTACAAAAAGTGGTGGATACCAGTACAGGAAGTTATAGTGATAGATAAAAATAAGAAAAAACAAAGTCAGAGCCAAGCCAAGCAGAAAGAAATCAAAGATGAGGTAATATTGCAATTATTTTCAGATTTAATTTTAACATTGGATTTTATCCCTTGACATTTTAAGTCTGTTGATTAAATAATTATATAACTGTATCGCTACTGATGTTTGTCCTTTCTAGACTTTTATACACATATGTCAAGCTTGCATGGTCTCACATTGAAGGATTACAAGAGACGGCTTTTCAGTTGTTTCAAATTTATTAAGCCATGCATAATGCCAGGAACCTGTTGTTCAGTGGTTGTCATTTGTTGATGTGGTTCATAAGTGTTTCTCGTTTCTTGTTTTTTATATAGATTAGACTGTTGGTTGTCCTGTTTGAAATGTTTTACACTAGTCATTTTGGGGCCCTTTATAGCTTGCTGTTCAGTGTGAGCCAATGCTCCTTGTTGAAGGCCGTACTGACTTATAATTGTTAACTTTTTACACATTGTGACTTGGATGGAGTGTTGTCTCATTGGCACTCATACCACATCTTCTCATTTCTATATATAGAAAATATTCAGATTTTTTATAACATATTATGTTTCCTGTGTTGGTAACTCTTCTGGAGCACCTCAGTTCACTCTCATTTTTATTATGTGGGTTTCATGTTTGAAATGAAGCTATGTAATTACTCTGACCATAATTGTACACATTCTGAGAAGCTGCTTATAAAGGTCAGGAAAGAAGGAAATACTTTGGTCATTGATTCATTTAAGCTTACCAACTTTTGTTGTTTTGTAGAAAAGTAATAAATTTGAAAAGAAGATGTTTTCATATGTTTATCATCCTCTTACTTATACAAAGTTTCTGAAAAAATTGTAATTTGTTTAGGTCTTAAAATCTATGCCTTTTACAAATGGAATGTATGAAAAAAAAAAAACAATGTTTCACTAACAATAATGAAATAAAGAACTTTAAAAATATTTTTGGGCCTTCATTGCAAATAATGGATGGAAAGTGTCATATTCAGAGCCATAGATTAAAAAAAGACCAACAACACTTGACCAAAAAAAAAAAAAAATGAGACTTTATTTTTTCAGTTTTTGTTATCACACTTATGTATGAGTACATGATAATACTGTTAGTACTAGACAGCACATTTTGATTCATGAACATGCAGGCATACAGTGATTGTTGGCCAGAACTAGTTCTGGATGTGATCTATTTCATTGCCAGACATGTAACCGTTTATGTTGATGAAATTAACAAATATTTATTTGTTGAAGTTGAATTATTTCTTCTTCCTATTAAATTTTAGGACAAGAAGTCACCAGATATCTTTATATCTTACCAATGGGGTAAACAGAAACAGATTATGGCCTTTTACCAAAGATTGACGGGGATGGGTCTGAGTTGTTGGATGGACATCTACCAAATGGGAGGTGGAGACTCATTGTATGAGAAAATAGATTCTGGTGTACGAGGGTGTAAGGTAGTACTTACCTGTATCACACAAAAGTATTCGCTATCAGCAAACTGTCGTAGGGAAGTCAGTCTGGCCGATGCTTTGAAGAAACCAATTATACCATTGCTTTTAGAGAAAATGGATTGGCCACCATCTGGACCAATGAGTATGGTGTTTACCCAGTTGCTGTTTATTAACTTTTATCGTGACGAAGAAGTACAAATGACATGGACTGGACCAAAATTGGATGAATTAATGGAGAAAATAGGAGAACATATGCCAATGATTACGCAAAGCGAGCATACAAATGAAGAAAAACAAAGCACTAAGAAAGAAGATAATGATAAAAAATCTGGAAATTCAGAACCAGAGTCGAAACCAGCAAATCAGAGTATGTCTCCAAGACCTGTCAGCTCCAGAAATACCAGAGGTGCAGGTGGTCCACAACCAACAGAAAACAAGCCATCTCCAGTAAGACAACCTAAGCCTGTGGCCGCCACCAACACAATTGCTGAATCTCCAACAGATCCAGCACAGCAAAGAAAACAAGAACAGACGTCTGCTCCAAAACAGGAAAAAGAACAAAAGAAGTCCAAATCTTGTACAGTTTTGTAGATATTTAGGTGCAGCTTTAAATGATACAGCTTGAACATCACATTGCAAGACTGGTACTTCAATTTTGTTGTACAAATCTAATATTGTAAAATTTTAGTACTAATATAGTACGATAGTTAATACGTACTACACCAGTACTATATTATTTAGATACATTTTCAGTACTATTGTACTAACTAAAATAGTGCACATGCAAAAGTAGCTGTGAAAGCAAAGGAACAGTTCTGTTATTGCTGTTCTTCATATATAAAGTTTATTTCTGTTTATTAATAAAGGAGACATTCACAATTTTTTTAGAAATACTTAATCCGTCAGGTTTTGTCATTTTTCCAACATGATTACATTTTAAAAGCTTTGTTGCATTTATATAATAGATAGATTAATTACTATTGAACTGTATTTTGATAAACAAACAAACCGGTGATGTGCCATATTCTATTGTTCTGACTTTTTGTGATTGTGTGTGTTATATGATATGTTTAAATTCTTTGATATAGGGAAGAAATATATCAGTTTATCGCACCTCAGGTAAATTAGTGACAGTGTGATTGGTTTATCGCTGTCACATGGTGACCGCCTATGGATCCGTATTGGATCAGTAAATTTCATATGGGGTTCATGATGTCACATCTACTTATAAAGGTGACGTCATCTTTTAATTTATTGTATTTCATTGTTTATTTTGATACAAAACTTAGAAGGAAAAGTCCTGTGTGCGATAAATTTGTCATACAGTTACTACTGACCCCCTATGGATCTATTGAGGGTTAGTAGCAAACCATATAACTTATATCAACAGGGCATTCCTTTCATTTTCAGTTGTCAAGATGATTTTTTTTTGAAAAGAGGAAGGAAAGTTAGAAATTGCATGTGGTTTTTTATTATTATTATTATAATAGTCAATAAAGAAGACTGGGATTTTCAGCAAGTAGGTCATTTTTTTCCCAATGCCCAACTGTTATGGAACGCCCTGGTTTAATATTTTGTTGGATAGATTACTGAATGATATCTTTGCTATACACATTTTCATTGTTAACTCTAATGTTTTAGTTTAATAGGAAAAATTGTTTATTTATTATACTTGTGTCTACTATTTTACTTTAAGTAAATTAAATATATTTAAATTAAATTTAACTAGATTATTAATGTGGATTATTTAAAATTAGACTTATATATTTAATAGATATCTCCGGCCTTTTTCTATGACTTTTCTAGATTTGTCAACGATACTTTTATTGTCCAAAAGTTAATTAGACGTAATTAAATAAAATACATGTATATCCATATTTTCTATTAGCTAATAATATGCACTTCTTTTCACTATTGATCACCCTTATTCTTTGTGTTTTTGAGTAAAATATGACAGACCAGTTGAAAGTATTTAGAAACTGGTTTATGTAAGGGATTATATATGTCTTGTGGCTACAACCTCATTTTAACGCTTTAGTTTTCAGAATGTTTTTTTTTTTTAGTTTTGGTCTGTTCCTCAATAACTATAAATGCCTGACAGGTCAACAGTTTTTGTTATATATAATAGAAATGAAAGGATATGGACTTATTGTGACACAGATATGTCACAGACATATGACTTTAACCTCATTTCCATGCTTCATTGGTTGGGTGAATTTTTCAGGGTTAAATCAATTCCTCATTTACTGTTTTGAAAGGTATATAATATTTGTTATGGTTTTTCTTTGAATTGCACTCTTTAAAGGTCTAAATGTCAAGTTGTCTTGATCTATTTTCGTTCTCCAATGGTTGGAATAAAATTTATTTATCTCCGAAAGTATACAATATTGGTCAGCAATATTTTTTTTCGATTATGTCTGTATCTGAGAAAGTATATAATAGAGGTCAGGAATATTTGTTTTATTTGATCTGAACCTCAGTTTCAGAGTTTTTCAACCTTCAAAATAATTCAAATATTACTGAAGGTGAGAAATGAAGGTTTGTCAACTCTTGTTTATTTTTATATGAGTTATTTGTGATACCTTGTATGTTTCAAGAACCACCCAAGTGTCAGTGACATGATTGGGGTCAATCCGTCCAAATAGGCATTTTGATTGCAAATAAGGGTAAGTAATTACTTGCTGAGACTAATGGTATATCTTTACTCAAAGCAGCATGTCTTTTGGAGTTTTATTTTAAATTTAATATACATATAAGTTTCAGGAATTTTTGGAGGGGATTTAAGGGGGGTTGTAATTTATTTTATTATTTATAAGATGAATATTTATTTGCATCAGGTTTATATTTATAACTATTATGTGATTTATTTTTACTTCTCAGAACATTGTTTATAGATTGTCTGTGATATTTTTCTAGAATAAAGCATTATCTGTTATGTTTAGTAATTTTATATCTTAAAAATATGATAAAATATTTGTGTCAAACAGCAAAATTTATGGTTTCACTTTGATCTTGTTCCTACCACTAAATAGCACTGCTGGGCTAGTGGACTGGCATGCCTGCAGCAAACCTTTAGAGCTACACAGTTTGAGATCTGCCTCTTTTAAGCAACACTTAGGGGAGATAATTCATGACAACCTTTTTTCATTCAAAATTTTGTATTAAGATACACAGAATTTCATTACATAAGCATAAGCTTGTTGCAAACCACAGTCCGATGTTTCTGTGTGGCTGTGCAAGATGTATAAATATGCAGCCACATCTGGTCATAATGCATAAGGAGACAAAATATCCGATGCCTTGTGTAGAGTGGGTTCCACACTCTCAGCACGTCAATGAAATCTTGCAAGATTCTGAGTGGTCTTTAGATGGCCCATTGCATGGCAGAATTTCTGACTCTATCCAACATACTCTCTTGTTTCAGAAGTAGTCCAAATTTACCCACTTCATTTCAGTGGATCTACCTACTGCAGAACCTTCCTATCATGTTATTGTTTGTTGGTTCTTGTCCTGAATTTGCACGACTATGAATATTTACCATTAGGAAATGCATGAAGTATTTGCCATTAGACAATGCATGAAATATTTGCCGCTGTACACTGCATGAAATATTTGCCACTAGACAATGCATGAAATATTTGCCACTAAATAATACACCAACTACTTGCAACTAGACAATTCATGAACTATATGCCACTAGAAATTGTATGAAATATTAGCCTCTAGACAATGTGTGAACTATTTGCCACTATACAATACATGAAATATTTGCCACTGCAATACATGAACTATTTTCCACTAGAAAATGCATAAAATGAATGCCACAAGGCATTAAGCAAGCAACAATCAAATTGATAACATGACACTAACACTGGTAGATAAAATTTTGGTGAACTGCATGCATGGTGCTATGACGGAGAACTGTAAGATTTTGTTTGATGACCCCTTTTTGCAATTATGTAAACATTAAGTGGATGCAGTCCTTTTGATTTTAAAATATGACTAAAACAAATATTTACTTGTCACTAGTCCGTACATAATATGAATTAATTTGTGATTGTTTCTAGGAAGAAAGTGTTAATTGATTCGTGATTTTACAACGTTTATATCTTTAAATCTGTTCCTCAGTGAAGGCCATCTTTAGTTTTAGGTCAGCAAAAATAACATATGTAGGACTAAACTATTTTCATCCATGTCTAATAAATATATTAAATATGTTCTATGGAAAAGCTGTTTAAATTCTCTTTGTTTGATCTCTATGTGAAACTTATTGGCCAAAGCAACAATTTGATATTACGCTGGAACAAAAACAAATTCTGGTCAAGACCATCCAGGAACCATCAACTCAGTCAGGGTTTTGAGATGTGACTGTTAATGTACACTACAGCAATGTAACAGAAGACTTAAACAACGTCTTAGAACTACTAGAGTCTAGTTTTGACAGGAACTTCCCTTTGCAAAAAGTCTTCCCTTTACATAAAGACATAAGTTATACTATTCCCATGTCAAGACTAAAAGAGTATCAGCAGAGTCTCAATAAAAAAATATCAAATATTTAATAAAGTAAAAGAGGACCAACAAGATTATGACCTCAAAAGAAATGTATACATGCTACATGCACAGAAAACTAAAACCATGGAAATATTAGTCACAAGAATGGCTAAATTCAAAATATTTTGATGGATTTGGAATTCAAAGATGTAAATATTAATAACACTGAAGTACTCTAGTAATGGACTTCTGATACCCGTTACACCTGGGACTATTATACACCGGTTACACAGACATAATTATTTTGATATATATCTTTTAAACAATTAAAAGACATACAACAATGTTAGATGCATAATCGGAACATGCAAGCATAAAAAACAAAGCATCAGTAAAATCAAAACACACATCAGAAGCATGGTATTTATGATTCTGTTAAGAAATAAACCCAAAGCAAGTCTAGTAAGCTAAATATGTTAAAATACGTCAAGCCGAAAAAAACTTGTAAAGTCATATGATACTTCAAATTTAATATGAAAAAAAAGAGTTGAAAATGTTTTATATACTTGGATGGCTAAGTTTTACTTTAAAAAGAAAATCCCTTGTTTTATCAGAATCTTCAGAAATGTACTGCTATTGATTTATTGTCTTACTCTAATTCGTTGACGGCTTTTCAGTATGCCATGACCTTAACCATGACACCTTTAGAACTTCGGCAATCGCACAGCGCAAGTGCGAGGGAAAAGCCGTTATCGGAAAGTAAACTTTTAACGTAAAAAAAGTTGAAAGAAGATAGTATTAACCGATTCCAAAATAAAACAAAATAATGCACCAAATCATTTAACAACTGTTATAACAAACTTTAATTAACAAATGGGTACGCATTGAAAACATAAAAAAACAAAGATTTATTCCTCTATGGCACGCCTGAGCCACTTTTATTACTTAATCTTAGATTATCTCAGATAAACTAGGATTTTCTCAGATAATCCCGGTTTATCTCAGATAAACTAAGATTTTCTCAGCTTAATTCAAATTCGAGAAAATCCTAGTTTATCTCAGAAAATACAGAAAATTCATTATCTGGAGAAAATCCCGGTTTATCTAAAAAATTTAAGAAAATCTTGGTTTTTCTGAACGATTTTCAGATAATCCTAATTTATGTTCAGATAATTAATTATCTCAATTTCAGATAATCAATTATCTCATTTCTCGAGAAAATCTAAGTTTATCTCGGATTCTGAATATAGCAAAGAACGATCTAATGACTGTTTTAATTGGACGACAATCGTTAAACGTTTTACTTTTTCTCTGATTCCTCTGTCGTCTCTTTTATTTTCCACGTATTCCGGATCCATATATACTTATGTGTTGATTGTTTATCAATAGGTAATGGTCGGTAAACTTCGGCACCAAAACCCGACAGTTACTGATTTGCAGGAAAAATTTTCGATCAACAATCACAGGATGAAATATTTTTTTGCCGATTATACTGTATGGATTAGTAATAAATGTAAAAAAACGTTGCGCAAAGGACTTAATTTAATATTATATATATATAAATCTCAGATATGAATACATTAGTTCAATAATTTCCTCAACATAATAATTTCTAGAAACTCATTTCATATGACTTTTAGACCTTAAAAATAAGATCTGCAGGCGTCACACCCCAGAGGCGGATTTAGGGGACCGGATGGAGAGGGAGCCCCCTCCTAATGGAGATAACGATATAAAGTTAATGCATAGACTTTTCACATGTTCTACTCCAAACTTTGCCTAGCATGGGGCCACCTCTTTTTCATAACCATGGATCCGCATCTGCACCTGAATAAACTATCCTGTTCATCAATCGGTTTTAAATTGGCTTGAGTCTGACTGGTTTCTTTGCGTAATCGATTTTATTGATTTTGTAGTTCGTCCCATATATCTAATAATTGTAGTTCTTGGTATATTAAAACAGTTTTGTTTTGTTTTCTGAAAGAGTAAGAGCTAAACATAACGGAATTTTACCATAAATTATCATGAAAACCGCAATGGCTAAAGACAGTTAGCCTTCATAATTTTTAAGGTGGCAGACCAGATTTTATAAGTAATTCTTCATAAATATGCTAGTAAAATCATCAAAGTGCTCTTTCAGGCTTCATGTGTTACTTTCACCACAAAAGTGCCATACAATAGGACAATAATCAAAATAACACATATTAAATATGAAAAGTAAATTAACAACCAAGTCAAAGCCTAGACGCCTGAATTATGCATATTCACATTTGAACTTTAGCTGTCTATCACTAATCACACCCAAAAGTTTGACTTCTTGTTCAATTTTATTTCATTTCCATCCAAATTCAAACTTATACTTTGTTTTGTTGTTTTAAACTATTGCAAGTGCTTTGAATGGCTTGAATGTAGGCAGGGTTTGTTTTCATCTGGTCGTGGCAGAACCAATTTATTAAATGTAATCTTTCCGAAGTGTTTTTTCAAAAGATTCACAACCGTGTTGTGTCAGATCTGAATCTATTGTCGTCAGCAATAAATGATTAGTTATAAAAATAGATGTTGGGTATGATTGCCGATCAAACAACTATCCAACAGAGACCAAATGTAAGCAACTTCCTGTCACCCGGCATACGGCCTTCAACAATAACTTATTTCAGTGGCAAAAGTTATTTTCACGTTTGTGCACATTTGTTTCCTGCAACTTGTGTTGAAGAATGTTCGTCTATGTGCAAAAATATTTATTTACAATTCTTACCCATTCTTTAATAAGTTATTCATTTTCAAAATCCTCCTTACCCCCCCCCCCCCCCCCCCCCCCCCCCTTCCTTTACGTCATAAAGTGATAAAATTTGAACTCAATTTGTGACAGAATGTTATGATTCCTGGGCTTATGAATACCTATATATTGCCATCTAGGTACAAATATTAATTTTATTTTCAATATAATCACAAATGTTTTGGCAACATAATTACATAATCACTAAAAAGGGCAAGTAATCAAAAATCAAAAAACCAAATGGAGAGACTCAAATTCCGGGAAATCATAATTGGTTCTCAGATAACTTCTATGCATGCTACCCATGCATCTTTCTGTTTAGAAATTTATTTGACTTTCGTGAGGTTACTTCAACAAACCAGATTATTGAGGTCGCTCGAATTTCTTAAAGCGAAATTTGAAACCCATAAATGATCTTTTATTTTTTTCTTTTCTTCGTGAAACAATTTTTTCAATCCATATACCCACACTTAAATCAGGTAAAAAATGATGCATCTCCATATTGCCGAGACTGAGCAACGAAAATCTGAACTAATTAGCCTATACGAAAATTGCAAACAGTGGAGTGCTGTAACCATGCAGACAATTTGACGTTAGAAACTTTTCTTACTGTCCTTCCAACTACGATACAGGCAGACGGGGTTTGTTAATGACCATCAATGACCTTACTGTCCTGATCAAATTAGACAATATGTAGGGACAACACCCCGTCAATAGAAGGGTCATAGAATTTGATTACGCAACGTCATAATCATATGCGAGATATGTTTACGGCCGCAACGTCAAATGCTTATCAAATCGCCAAATGCCATGGTAGACAGATCCATGACATAAATGTTTCCCATAAACTGAAATGCCAAAGAATCGACTGCAGAAAAATATTTAAAGCCCTAAAGTTTAAACCGCATAATTGCAAAATCACACTGTAATGGGTGGGACAAAGGCAAAATCAAAAGTACAAAACTGAACTCAAAACATGTCCAAAAGAATTGGTGGACCTTTCTGACAATCATTTTGGCGTTGGTTACATGCAGTCATTTCCTTCTACGATGCTACATCCATTGATCAGGGGAAACCCCGGGTTAAGTGGCTTACCACATGATTTGAACATTCAAATTGACGTAACCAATTCAACTTCCGAACTGCAATTTTTTTTAAACAGTGAAGTAATGAATGAAATTTATGTTCATACATTTGTTTAACAAAAATTGCATATTTAAAAATGGAAATTAAAAATAATAATCTAGTGCAGGGACTTCCTATACTAACGTTAGTATAGACTGTCCCTGTCTAGTGTTGCATTTCTAAAGTCGGTCAGTTTTAATTCCGAAGTTCCATATACAGAAGTGCTTCTGTAATGGGTACGTTTTTGATCTGTCAAATATAAGATTGAGTGGGAAACTTTTACATTAAATATTTATGCCTTGAATGATGGTAATTTCGAGAACAAGTTGCTTTTTAAAAAAAAAGACAATACGTGAACCTTAGAACTTTTTTTATTCTAATTATTAATTCAACTGAATAAGAAATTATATATCAGTGTTTGCATGGGATAATATTTTTTTTTTATTGTTATTCATTACAATTTTGGCATGTTGAGAGAAGTGTTAAATATAAAGCAATGAGGAAAAAATAGATTCCTAGACGTATAATTTCTTAAAGAACAATAATGATTCAAAACATGGGGGACACTGTACCTTCTTCCAAAAATTCATAAAATTAATCTAGAAATAAGTAATGAGGCATTGCGAACTGGTCAGCTAGCAGGACACATTAATGTTCGTTACCGACCAATCATCAATAAATGCAACTCTCCCGCGAGAGATACTTACTTGATCTAATTATAAAACCATTATTGAAGAGGCATAACTGTTACATTCAAGATAAAAAGTTTCCATTAATAAAATAGAGTCACACGAGGTCAAAAGAGAATGCATTCTTATTGCCTAAGATGTACGTCAAGGTACACAAATATGATCACTGATAAATTAGAAGAAACTGTTATCTATGCATTAGAATTAATTGACACACAGGAGAAGATACTTTAAATATTCTCAACAAAATAGATATAACTGCATTTGTCAAATTAATTTTTAGAAACAATGAATTTGAGTTTAATGGACTGTTATACAAACACATTATAGGAGCGCTCATGGGTGGTATATTTTAACCAACATGCACAGATCTGCATCTGTCTGTCCTATTCATTAAAATCTTAGATAAGTTCATCAAATTACACTGTCGATAGGGATGACGGTTTTATGGTCTTCACAGGCAAATTAGAGCAAGTTGAAGATTTCTTTAACCTAGCAAACGAAATTGACCATCTACTTTAGTTCTAATATGAGGTGTCGACATCTAGTATGACCTATTTAGAGGGTGGTAAAGGGTTGTTTTCGTGCAACGTTTTCGGCCTTTTTATTTCACGTGATTTCGTGTTTCAACGTTTTATTTCTCGTTTTTTTTCGTGTTTGTTTCGACGTGCGTGCTTCGTGTTTTTCCTTAATTATTTTCCGTGTTTCGTGTCGGTACTCTTTTATTCTCGTGCTTGTCCCGCATTTGATTAAAAAATAAACCGGGACTAATTCAAAGTCAGCCCATATATTGTTTTAAATTATAAACTAATTAACTGGTCCCAAGACATTTATTAATAGCCATTGTATTACTATGATAAATCGTATGCAACAAGTAGAGGACGCTAAAAAGTGACCACATGCAGGGTCGCCATGTCAATTTATAATGACTCCATGATCTCCAAGAACGGCTGAGTAATAACTTTTGGTACTTTTTTCCTAAATATTTATGTTACGATTTTATTCCTTGGCTTCTTTTTTTTTCTGTTTTTTTCCGTGCAACGTTTTTCCGATTTGTTATTTCACGGGTTTCCGTGTTCAGACCCACCCCTTTTTTTACCACCCTCTATTTAGATACCGAAGTGTACAAAGGTGATCAATTCCATAGTAATGGAATTCTTGATGTTTAAGTCACGTATATTAAAAACACAGAAACGTACCAATATTTACCAATCACTAGTGCACATCCAAAACACACATAAATTTAAGAGTATTAATTTACAGTGTGTGAATAATATAAGAAATAATAGTGACATCAGTGAATTAAATAGACATTTAATTAGCTTACAAAATAACTTAATTGATAGAGAATACTGTAAAAAGGAAACAGTAAAAATTGTAAAAAATGTATATTAACGAATAGTCTTTTAATATTTTACTTGTTTTATTTTCAGTTAAAACAGATTTTTTTTATCTGATTTGTCAAAATGACAAGTATGCATAATGATTTTATTGTTACAAATCAAATCCCAAAGCCCACTATAACTCATTATGTAGAAGCCACAGCACTATTTTAAAATATCTCTCTGTGAATATCTAGACACAAATGTTTGATACCATATGCATAGGTCGTTATAATTAAATCTTGACCATTTATCTTTCACTTGTTTATCAAAGGGTACAACTGTCAACTTTGCTCAAGTCAGTAAACCCTTGCAATGCATAAAATGTAGCTTTACAATAAATATACATGTTTGAAAAGGATCTATAGATTGTTTATTATCATATATCAGATAAGTGAATTAGCAATCTGTGAATATTTTTTATTGTCATGTTTTAAATATCTTAGATACCCCGTATGGAGGTGCTCTTAATTGCAGGAAGCTAATACAGATAAGATGAATAGGTGTTCCGAATGAACAATAATTTAGCTTCCGAATATTCCTCCATAGACTATATTTCTAACTAATTTATTAAAAAAAATTAAATTCTGTTGGACATATATGATGATTGGTGGGTATTTTAAAACATACTTGAGAACGTACAGACCGTCTCTCGGCGCTTGACATGCTACACATTTATAGAGACATGGCAATCAGAATTTGCATCTCTTAAGGGAAGAAAACTGAACTTATTAACTTTTTTGTTGAAAACATGTAATTTTTTATAAATAAATCATGAATCTCATTGGAACCCTATTCAATATTTTCCAGGCGCTTATTTATTGAAATACAAGAAACAAAAATCTAACCAGTGTCGGATTCTGAGGGAGTACATGTATACAGGGAAAATGTCCGAAAAAATATAATTTTCTGCATAAAATGGTCCAAAAAAATTTTCCCCTCGCTACGCTCGGCGATGGCATCCACATCATTTAAACCCTGGTTACGCCACTGTAGGGCATGCTATGCCTTAAAACTTTTCCAGATGCACAGGTTTGTCTGTACTCTAGAGTAAATTTTGGAGTGAAAACGCAGCCATTTCAGCCAAAAGGTCCACATGAACCTTAATGATAGAACAATAAATGTGAAACACAGTGCTCCATGTCAAGGGGAGAAATATACAACGCAAGGCACATATCAACATGATAATGATGGTTTCACTCCCCTTATTGAAAAGATGCCCAAACTTTTCTTACATCAATAAACAAAATGAAGCATGAAATATCTTGTTAAGCAGCTTCTATGGAAGAAAATTAATCAAGGCACCCGTTTAACATGTAAACCTACCTGTAATTGTTCCGTTTCATAATTTTAAATCCTATGCTAAAAAAGAAACTTCTTCATATCTACTGGGACTATTAGTATTATAATACTAGTATAATAGTCCCAGATATCTGTATTTTTAAAATAGTTCAAACAATAATGACGTTTTGAAAGGCTATTTTAACCTAATGTAATCCGTTTTGAGAGTCTGTGTTCTGAGAGATTTTCTTATTTGGCATCCTTCTCTAAGGACACAGAATCCCAACATACCCAACTATATCAGTCCTATTCAGGACCGATAACTCTGTCGATAAATATTGTCGGGTATACAATGTTGTTGAAATCAGAGCAATTGTATTATATGTCTCTGTTGAAATGTATACAATAACAAATTTTTTTACACAAGTTTAACTTTATATCGATTTATTGAATGCCTGGATTTTGCTTAAAATATTGAATTAAAAAAATAAATAGTAAAATCATATTCAATGAAATCTCGTTTAATTTTTTACGAAATAATACAAAATCCATTTAAATAAAAATTTGAATCAAAATATTTCTTTAAAATAATTATAGAAACATAAATATTAGTTTGATTATCTTTTAAAGCAAAAATTATTTTTTTAAAGATTTTTTTTTATAATATTCATATTTTCTTAAAGTTTATTATGATACATACTTCTTCTGGTTTGACACGGGGAAGAGAAGATATTTATTTGTACAGTTATGAAAACTTTTGTATATCACAAAATTTAAACTCTGGTAATACATGTATACACAGGATGTTTAATGTCACCTGGTTGCTTTTGGTTTGCACGTCTACCTGACAATATATTGTTGTGTAACATTACATCCAAAGTCAGAGTTCACCTGTTCGTCAAGTGATGGGATTTTGAAGGTTTGGAATATTTATCTATTATAATTGTTGGGATTTTTTTCTCTCTTGGGACGTAAATATTTTTTTGTTCTAAAAGGAATGTATAAATATATTTCTAAAGAAAGATAAATTATACAGAAAACAGGAAAAAACCTTTTAAAAAAAGAAGAGAAAAAATTTTATTATAAATTTTATTGTTAACTATTTCTGGTAAAAGTATATCCTGGATATCTGTCAAAATAAAATGTTCCCGTGTCACACTTAAAAAATAATATTTTTTTAATCAATAAATTTTGAAATCAATCATATCGAAATATCACCAAAGAAAATAACAGAAACATCAGAGATTCTACATGAAAGTTAAATTAAATCAAGGAAAGTCTTACCATACAAATCCTCGATTTGATGCAACATTTCCATATACATCATCCGCCATTTTGAAAAATCCCAAAATATTCACTTTTTTAAATCGATTTTTGACCGAAATTGCCCAGAAATTAAACTGTTTTAAATAGTATTTTTCGCCAGATATATGTTTGAATATACTTAATCGATTTGCAAAGTTTTATTTTTATTAACGGAATTTCTTTATTTGTTATACAAGTAGACATGGGTATCGGTACATTTAGCATTGAGTCAACGGAGAAATAACAAGAAAAAGTACATGTTTTTACGATTCTCCAGTGACAGAATTTAATCAAAAATTAAACTGTTAGGACCAACATTGTTTGATAGAAATATGTTTGAATATCAAGGATTGATTTGCAAAAGTTAGAAAACGGGTCAGGTTCATGAGAAAACTAAACTTTATTGAAGCACCTATGCATTTTATATGGGGCAATATAATACAAAATGGCGGCTAGTATACGTCACAAAAGTCACGTGATGTCTGACTTAGTTGGATATGAGGGATTACATCAAGTGATATGTACAATGTTTCCTACAAAAACGAAAAAGTTGGTGGTTCTCTCCGGGCACCAGACTTCCTCCATCAATAAAAAACTGGCCACCATGTAATTGCCAACAGTACTGAAAGTGGCATTAATCCCCAATCAATCAATATGAACAAAAATTTGTTTATTTCATCACTTGATCATGTCGTGATACACAATGTATAGTAGGAAATTGAAATTTCAGATATTTTGTTCCTTGATAGAGAAGTAGACTCCCAGTAAGTCCTAGAATAAAAGACACTATTGAAGTTTCAGTTGGTGATATACATGTGGCTCCTAACATTTTGGCTTATTTACATACATGTATCTCTGGCTTTCAAATGCTTAGGTTTTAGTGCTCCTGATGAAGATTAATCCTGAAAAGTCAATAAAAGTGCTTCAGATGCACACAATTTAGAATCTGTTTATTTCATTCAGTGTTAATATATAGACTTTGTCATATTTTGTTGAAAATGATGGATTAATAATCAAATCAATATTTCCTTTAATTTTTATCTTTCAAGCCCTTTCTTAAATTACTTATTAAAGTAAGGAGATGTGGTATGATTACAAATGAGACAGCTATCTAATATGGTGATGTCTTAGAAAAACTAAATTCTATTGACTATGTTGACTGTCAATGACTGTTATGAATTGTATACTTTAAATCTTCTGTACACTACTTGTTCACATAATCTAAATGGAAATTATCTGAACATGGACGATAGACATAACTAAAGCTTCTACATTTTGTAATATCTTGCTTTACAATATTCTTGTTTCGTTTACATGTACATGTATATCACCAAATTGTAAGAATTCCTATGAGTACCAGTTACTGGTCTTTTTTTTTACAATGTTTACGGCAGACATATGAATTTCATGAAAACATTTAAAAAAGGAAAAATTCAGTAATCAGAAGGTAGACTTAAACCACCTGTATCAGTAACTTTATGGTTAATTTTACTGTTTTATGTACAAGTTGTGCTACAAAATGTATTTATTTTTCTCTGTAAGAAAACTTTATTTTATTTCTTACCATATCTACATGGAAGTGCGTGATTATTTTTGACTGATAATTGATCACAAAGTTTATAAATATCAATGATGTGAAAAAAACACATATTTATTTCACTTTATTTCTACACAAACATTTCTTATTTTTATGTTTTTGTTATGCTTGTTGTTTTCTTTTCCATTTCCAGCACCCAGAAAGAACGTGTGTGCTATCTTCTTATCTGAATTAAAAATTACACATTTATTTTTCATACTTTAAAAACAATTTTTTTCTTAGGTAGAAGATTGTTAATGGCTGATGTCACCCTAGGGTTAGACAGATTTAGAAAGAATGTTGCTAAAACTTGCTCAAGTTTCAAGAAGGACAATGTGAGGAAAGGTATGCATGAATTTTTAAAAATCCATCTGAATGCATGAACAATATAAACAAAGATGAAATAGGTTCTGGTTATCTTATTTATTTACCTCATGCAGCTGTTATCAGTAAATTAAAAAAAATGCTATGTATAAATTATAACGTGTATGATGTCCACATGTCCATTCATTGATTCTAAATATCTAAAATCCACTACACCTCTTAAATAAATGAATCCATCCCCTCTTCCATATGAATCATTGATTTTATTTCTTGTCCTTCAGTTCCCTTAATTTTAGTAATGTAAGTAATGTTTCAAGATTTAATGTCCTAATTTAAAAAAAAAAAAATTAAATCTGTTTTTTTAACCTTTCAAAAATATAATATATCTGCAGGGATCAGACAAAATTAAAATATCATTATGTCACTTGAAATATTAAAGACTTAAGATTCAGTAGTTTTGTTGGTATTACTATGCAATAATGGCCAAAAAATAATTAAATTGAGAAAAATGTATTTTACCAAGGTCATCAGGACCTTTGAAGAAGTTTTTAGAATTTCATAATTTTGGATATTAACATTATTTTATTATTATACTGAACTAAGTAATGGGTGATTCTTTTTTTGTTTGGAGAATATGTGCTATGCCTAAATCCAAACTGAAATGTTGGCCACTGTTTTCACCAGATGGCATCAAATATAGGGAAATAACTTCAACCTGAAAAGGTGTACCAAATTTACATATTTTTAATTTTGTTTGGTGGAGGAAGCCAAAGTACCAGGAGAGAACCAAGACCTATCACAGGAAAGCTGGCTATCCTAGTCAAGTGATCGATTAAGTACCAGGAGAGAACCAAGACCTATCACAGGAAAGCTGGCTATCCTAGTCAAGTGATCGATTAAGTACCAGGAGAGAACCAAGACCTATCACAGGAAAGCTGGCTATCCTAGTCAAGTGATCAATTAAGTACCAGGAGAGAACCAAGACCTATCACAGGAAAGCTGGCTATCCTAGTCAAGTGATCAATTAAGTACCAGGAGAGAACCAGGACCTATCACAGGAAAGCTGGCTATCCTAGTCAAGTGATCAATTAAGTACCAGGAGAGAACCAGGACCTATCACAGGAAAGCTGGCTATCCTAGTCAAGTGATCAATTAAGTAAAACGTACCTTGCCACAAGACAGGTGGGAACTCACAACCACAGTGTTGACAGTGATCACTGTAGATGAATTGCTTAGACCAAATGGCAACAAGGCCCCAATCTGTTTTTGAGTCTTTTCTTCAGGTAATGCAGATAAAACAGCCATCAAAAGATTAGTTGGATTAATTTTAAACAAAAATAAGCAACACTGATGTCATCTGTATTGTTACTGCTGTCATATGACCCCAACAAAATTTACAAAATTCCGTGTTGAGAATAAAAAAAGTAATGTCTGAAAATTAATAGCAGAAAGTTTGATGTCATTGAATATTGCATTAGAATTTGCTGACAATTATAAGTACAGTACAGTTTTTGCATCTGTTTGTAAAGAATGTTTTATGAAAATGAATAACAAGAAATGTAGGAGATAAATCAATGAGACAGCAACCCAATCATACACAAAAAACATTAAAGTTATATTTTCTAGAGAATGTTGGGTTCAATGTTTTCCATTATAAATACAATTTATTAATATTGTCATTTAATTTAAGTATTTTTTCAGACATTATATTTAAAAATAAGAAAACAATTCCAGAAGATGAAGTAGATTCACATCTTCTAAACATGATCTACATCGCAGCCACTGATGAAGAGGTCAAGGTCTGTGCAGAAATAGCAAACAGGTTAGTCTATGAAAGTGGTCAGTTATTTAGGTTACTGTAGTGTGTTTAGTTGATCTCTACCTATTTAGTAAGTAGGAAACCATGTATAATTGCAGAATGTCAACTCAAATAATGCATTTTTAATATCAGTTCAGCTTAATAGCTTAAATGTTTTTATTATATGTAAAGAAAAGTTAATTATGCATCTTATTTTCTGACGAGATGGTCAAAACAGTTTCTCTTTGATTTCAATGGAGGATTTAATAATTGACCAGTTGGAAAGATAAATGAAAAATACTAGTTATGGAATTTTTCCTGGTTTGTAGAAAAAATAGCATTTCTAGCTCAGCTGGATGAAAGGCCAAGTGAGCTTTTCTCATCACTTGGCATCTGTGGTCTTTTTCTGTCATTGTCGTCAGTTGACTTTTTCAAAAATCTTCTCCTCTGAAATTACTTGGCCAAATTTAACCAAACGTGGGCACAATCATTATTGGGGTATGTAGTGTAAAAAATGTGTCTGAAGACCACGCCTGTCAACCAGGATGGCCGGCATTGCTAAAAATAGAACATAGGGGTAAAATGCAAGTTTTATCTATTATCTTGAAAACCACTTTGAATAGAGAAAATCTGACAGGGGCAGAAATGTTGAGAATGTTAAGATCTACCTGCTGTCCAATAATTGTAAAAACTGTCAGACGACTTCTGAAAGGAGTTATAGCCCTTAAATGTCAATTTTTGTCATTTTTTTTCAATTTAGTCTATTATTTTGAAAACTTTAATAGATACAGAGAATTTTTTTAAGAAAATGATTAGCAAGACAAGATCTAAAAATAAGCCATCATGGCAGAAATCTTTAGTTTATTCATTATTAGAGTTATTTCCCTTTAAAGATGTTTTTACCATTTTTTTAAAGTTTTGCCTACAGTACGCACAGAGAGTTTGTAATCGCGAACTCTAATCACGGATTTCGGAGTGTAGCGGTGTCACACCGTGAATCACGGATTATACTCCCAAATTCCTCCAAAGATTCTCTCCCAACACCGCGTGGCTGTTAATTGGTTTATTGCCCATCGGATGTACTGAAAATTAATGACTCGTGACAACATAATTGGATTAGCCAGATTTATTACCTTTGTACATTTAATCGATGTTGATTGCACCTGTGTGCTTTAAAACACGGTATTAAAATTTCCTTTCTTTGACAGATAAAAATGTGACATTTTCATTCAAAATAAGATAATTATTCTTGTATGTATTTGCCCCATGTCATTGTCATTTGAAATAAAACGTACAAATGTATAAAAATGCGAATAAAACACTTATTTTGTATTTTTATTATAGTCCGGTCAGGTCATAATTTTTGTTTTTTCAACAAAGACGATTTTACTACAATTAGAATCTTTTATGACCTACTCAGACAGCAATATCCGGTTCATTAATTGTTCAATATATAAATATCAACTGGCTTAAAACAAAATGATGTTTTTACGGTAATTTGTCCAATCTAAACCCAAGAGTTAATTTATCGGATCAACAAGTGAACTCTGTTACTTTCAATTTATTTTGCAATGTAAAATATTATGTTTCACTACCTCGGTAGATTACCGACTTGAAATATTTGAACTCAGAAAAGAAACTGTAAAGTGACAACTCTGTTGAACGAAGGGAAAACGTTTTGTATGCAATGTGCCCTATATTCATAAAAACACAACACTGAGAGACATTCCCCGCCCAGACACAACACAATAATCACAACCTAATTTAATTATATGAAGAAAAAAAATCATGTGTTGTTTATCTCTGTTATGATCTGTTATTGATCCTTTATTATTTAAAGTAAAATTGGATGGGCGCAATCCATATTTTACTGCTCGTTAAAAGTCCTTGGCGAAATAAAAAAAAGAAGTATTTAAACAATTAATACTATAGAATTTTTAAATGAAATTATATCGTGTTCTACAAGAAAGAAATATGTGAAAAAAAAGTGGATCTGATTTTTACGATCTACACATTTTCACAGAGGATCTCTACCAATGCCCAACAGGTACTGAACGACATGCATCCTGTTTTCATCTACCATTTATGTATATTGTTGACCATGGACGTCTAAATAATGTCCAGGTTTATGTCCTGTGTTGACTGAGAAACGTAAAATTAAAAGGCTGGTGTTCGTTTATTCAGAAAAGGATTATATTTTAGATTCCGGTTAATCAATTGTAAAAGGACCTTCTAGAGCCTCAATCTTAAGGCATACAAATGTCAATCATTCCAAAGCAAATTTAAACCCCGAATGAATTTTCCCACGGTCATCCAGAAAGGTCACCTGAGTTTACTGTTACGTGATAATATTTCCCGCCAAATACAAATCTCGTGGACAAAATTAATGTCACTATTTTTAGCATTCAATATTGTGAGCGAAGTGAAGTTCAAAGTTCAACCACGGACTGTTGATCACTGAGATGTGTATGGTTTTCCCACAGCAAATAATTTCTTTTAAAAAATTTAAAAATCACTGTCCTTTATACAACACACAAGTTAACATTCATTGTGCGTAAATGATGCAGCTATAGAAGTATTCCTGTTGTAGCCGAAATGTAATTATTTATCCTAAAGTAATGCCAACAAATCATAAAGAGAAAATGCCGTAGACTTATTAAGCATAACGAATGGTGAATAGTATTTCTTTTTTACTTGCATATACAAATTTTGAGACACGTAATTTTCTTTAAACTGCTCACTTTTATATTCAGCGTTAGTTTCCGTTTATCTTTACGCAAGTATGTCTCTTTTCGTAAATAAAATAATTTACCGATGAACTTAAACAAGGTCAAAATCAAGTATAGTTTTTGTTATAAAACTTTAATGCAATTGAAAGAATTAACAACAACATTCTGCTTTTAAATCTTTAATTTGTTTCAAGCAATTATGTAATCGTAAAATGAAAATGGCGTGGACTTATTAGCATAACGAATAGTTAATAATATTTTCTTTTTTACTTGTATACAAAACTTTGAGACATGTTATTTTCCTTTAAACTGCCCACATTTATTCAGCGTAAGTCTCCGTTTATTTTTACACAAGTATATCTCTTTTGTAAATTAAATATTAATTTACTGACCAGAAAAAAACGAGGTAAAAATCAAATATAGTTTTTTTTTAATAAAACTATTTTTAAATGTACAGTGTAATTGAAAGAATTAACAACAACGTTTTGCTTTTAAATCTTTTATTTGTTTCAAGCAATCAGAAATATAACCTGATTATCAATAGACAGGAAATACAATTGTTTAATTACATAAGTAATCTCACATACCTTGACTTTCGCGTGCCGGTATAGATCAGAAGGATTAGGGCAATTAATTACCTGGTGTGACACCGCGTCACACCGGACTGGGAGAGATGTCGCTAATACAATAAACAAAAGGTAGCGAATTTACGCGGAAGTCGGAGGGAATACTCCCAATTTTCTCCGATAATTTAGGGAGGAATGTCGGAGTTCCTGGTGTCACACCAAGAAAAAACATGGTGTTCGGAGTTTGGGAAGCCTATAAACGAAATTTGTACTGTATTATCTTGAAAATTGTGATAGATACAAATGTAGATAGGAACTTTAAAAAGCTAAAATTAGCAGCAGGACAAGATCTACAAAAATGTCAAAATGACTGAAATAGTCAGTTAACACATTATAGAGTTATTGCCCTTTCATGATTATTTTTACCAAAAAAATGGCTATTGTTGAAGATGCAGGTGAGCGACATAGGATCTTTAGAGCCTCTAGTTATTAAACGAATTATAAAGTTTACATATTTTGCAATTTGAATGGTCAAATATGGCTCTTCTCATACCTCATACCTCCTGCTATTCCGTGAAATTCATTTATGTACTATTTACAAATTGCTTGACACAATATAAAAAAACTAATAAACAAAATTGAATTCATAACGTGAAAAAAATAGTTTTTTTTTTCAATTTTTTTCAATTTACAGAACTCAATACAACAGACCTAGAATTCCAAGCAAACTTACTAAGTCTGATCCATTCAACTATGGTCCATTACTGATGAGAATGCTACATAATTTGGGAAAACCTCATGTAGCTGTTTCTTTCATGGAGGATGAGGTAGATAAAATTTTAACCACTTAATCATGATGACAAAAAATGACACAATACAATAAAGTCATCAAAACTCTTAAGATAAATCAAGAGAATACTTAAAAGGAACAACATGAATAGGTTACAATACAGAACATTACAACTGATCCAACTAACTCATGACTCCCCCTGAAAATGTTAGACATAGAAACAAAGACAAACAAATGTGAACAACATATGAACATGATAACCAAACTTGGTCGAAAATTTAAAAAAAAACTTATGGAAGTAAACTCTTTATTGGTCATTACTCCCCATCTTCATTTCCCATTGCAATATGGATGCTTAATGTATAAATGATTTTTTTAGTAAATTTTAAACAGTCTTCCATATCAGTATAACATTTGTAACTTGAGGTGAGTGACTTAGTATATTATCCATTTTTTGAGAAAGAATTAAATGTTTAGGTGCCAGATGTCAGATATTTTTATTCCTCACCTAAGATAGTAAAGGGGCATAATGTTTTCTGATCTAAGTGTCTGTCTGTCTGTAAGTCTATCTATAAGTCTGTCCTGTGTCAAGTTAAAGTTTAAGTTTAAGGTAGGTCAAATTTTGGTTTAGGGAAGTTTGTAGTGATATCAAATTGAAACTTAACTGTTTAGAAAAATGGGAAAAATATTGTAGTTCATGGTGCATTTAGGTTAATTTGGAGAAGACAAAAATAACTGTTTTCAATAAAAGTGGAAAGTTAACTAATTGTAAATTTTATTTCAATGGTGATTTGATTGAAAATGTACAGTGTTATAAATATCTTGGTGTTGTTTTATCAGCATCTGTTATGTTTAAGACTGCTCAAAATGATTTATATCAAAGAGCTCTAAAAGCATTTTTTAAGCTAAAAGGTGTTTTTGGTAGTATCATGCCAAACATTGATACAAATCTTCATATTTTTTATCATACAATTAAGCCTATTTTACTATATGGTTCCTAAATTTGAAGTACATGTACTTATCATTAAAAATCACAAACTATTAATTTGCATGAACTAGAGCAAAAGTATATTAAATTTCCTTGTAAAAAATTATGCCTAAAATTTTTTGAGTATATACTTGGAGTTGATAGTAAATCAACAAATTAAGCAGTTTACTCTGAACTTGGTTGTACCCATTACATATTGATATTATTTGTTCAGTTATTAAATTTTTCTGTAGGATCAAAGACATGAATGAGTGTCATTTGTTGAGTCAAACTCTTACAGATATTATCATAAACATTATCATTATTGTTTTTTTACTTTTGTCTATTTGTAATCATTATGTGTAACATGCCCTTTACTGGCTGATAATTGGTTCAATAAAGTATTCGTATTCATACTCGTATCAACTTGAAATTTAGTACACATTTTCATTATTAAGTCAACTGTTTGATATATAAGCCAAATTAGGGTTTTGAAAAAGATTTTGCGTTTCAATGAACATGAAAATGTATTAATGTGTTAGTGGGGCATGGTTTCCTATGCCTGGACACAGATTTCTGCTTTATGATATTACTCAGTCCACTTCTCACGTTAAATTATATATCATGTTTTTTAGGATTTAAAAGAAATGTTGCATCATCCAACCACATGTCTTATTTACTTGGATCTCCTCTATGAAGCTGGATTGTACGAGAAAGTGGTAGAATTTTATGAGAACACATTCAAAGAAATATTTGAAAGAGCCAAAAGAAAACAGAAAAGTGCTGGTCTACTGCTATATGACATGAACCATACTACATTAGCAGTGGCAGCACTGTACAAACTGGTACTTATATTTTACTTTTATTTTATTGGACATTTTAAAATCTAACATCAATATGTCAAATAAAAGGAGATGATGGGTATATGTCAATGATAAAATTGAGAATGGAAATGGGTAATGTGTCAAAGAGATAACAACCCGACCAAAGAGCAGAAAACAGCCCAATAGTGAGACAGCAACCTCAGGTTTCAAAACCCCAAAGAAATGTAGAGGTTAGCATACTGTCTTCAGTCTTTTTTGATTTCGACTATCAAAACTCAATTCCCTACAGGACAAAAACATAAAGATATAACTAATAACCACGGTTAATGTTTCTGGCTTGGGACAGGCATATGGACATGTAGCACTTTAGAAAATTCTTAATAACTCAAAACCCTAAACCTAGCTGCTAGCATGTGGGAATTGCCTTGCCAGAAATGTTTTTAAAGTGTAGAACCTATTCATAAAGTATTCTGTGATCTTTTATAGTGCATGTTGCCAGTGAAATATCAATGTCAACAATAAACATCCAAAATTAATCCAATTATGTGGTAAATCGTGAATGAAAAAAGGAAGAAGATATAACAGGACAATTAAAAACCATGATCAAAGAAAGACAGAAAATACCTGTAGCTGACTCTTCCCTTCATAATGTATGTTAGGGTTATTCTACTTATCTCCATTTCTGTCAGTATCACAATTATCAAAGCCAAATGAACATTTAATCATTTTGTAGTTATGATGTTTTGTAGAATTCACAAGAATCATTGCAAAAAGTAGTGAATTTATTTAAAGGAAAGTTTCATGATGATGAAGGATTCTTATCCAATCGCACTAGGGCATTTGCAGCAGCTTTGGCACTAAATCAGGTATGAAACATGATCACTCAAGGTGTATTACATCAGTGTCAGCATATAATCAAACCAACAAGACTTAGGTGTACTGTTTCTTGCAGCTTTGATTGTCAACAATTTGTTAAAGTTTGTAATTAGGTCAGTTTAAGTGGAACTATTAATAGTTAGTCAATTATATTTGGTATGCAGCTGTATTAGTATTGCACACCTCATTGTCATGGAGACTATTTACCCCTTCCCCTTAATCATAGTCGAGTGACTATAAAAAAAATTCGTTGCATTGTTCACATGTAGATGATTGATTGATTGGTGGTTGCTTTACCGTGCATCAGCACAAAAAGGCTATATCATGGCGATCACATGTTGATGTGTTGCCCTTTTAATTTTATCATTTGCATATATTATCCGTTGGCCAATTCAGGGGCATAGAGGGTGTATGCCCCCTCCTTTGGTAGGAAAATTTATTGTTTTTTTTACATAAAATTTCACTTCACTATCCTCAGCAATTACCACCCCTTTCCTCAAACCTTGCATCTACCCCTGCTATCAAAATTACACAGACATTATCTCAGTGTCAACAGTTTTTTTTACTTGTGCAATACATGGATTTTCAGAAACTCATTAACAATGATTGAATGAAAAGGGTATTACTTTGTTAAAATGATGCATGAAATAAGTTATATAACACATAGGGAAGTCATCTTCAAAAAGAAAAAAATGAAATCAATAATATCGAATTGTTGAATGTAGAAGGTACTTCAGATTTTAACAGGACTCATTATATATGTGTATGAATTTTGTCGAAAGAGTACCTACAAAGTAATGTATAATTTGTTTTTCTAAGTTGATACTTTAACATGTTTAAGGTTGAAAAAAAATATTGCTTTCTTAAAAATTGTTATGTTTCCAATTGCTACAGTGATATTATTAAATTCAATTATTTTAAGATTCATTACTTGTTCAATGATAAAAGATACATAAATTTTTTTTTTATTCTTCTGTTCCGTCCCATCAACTTCCCATTGCATTTTTCATAGGAACTTCAAATCACAGCTAATTTGGTTAAGGCTTTATGATTATTGCATACCCAAGCTTATATCAGGGGTTTCCTAAGTTAGGTAATGCCCACAGTTGTTTTATTTATTTTACAGAATGAACCAGAATTGGCACTAGATTTTATAGACATTGCAGAAATAAAACCTTCTGTATTTAACAAAAGTCTAAAGGTGAGTTTGTTTTGACATATATAAAATAGTTGTGTTAAAAAAAAATCAGTAACTAGCACATAGCTATTTACTTTAAAATCTTAATAATGCCACTGATTAGTAGGTTTTTTTTCAAGGGGGCATACTTAAGACTTTGCTAAGATAATTCCTTGAAAATAGTTTATGAATAATATTTTTTACAGTTAACTAATTTCTTAGCTCATTTATTCTTTTCCTGTATGGTTGATTACTTTTTCATAATCAACATGTTATTCATTAGTAAACAGTCTGCGATGTTAAGCGGTAGCCCGAAGCCCCTGACTAGTAAAAATCTCATCAGACTTGTGCAGAAGCACTGGTGATTGCCTGACCGGTCTAGTGAACATCTGAAATCGTTTGCAAAATTGTAGCCGTTATTTTATTGAATCTATGAGAACAAGTTATAAATTTGTCGCCGACAATGTTTTCATCCGTTTACTGGTATCCCTATTCAATTATATACGGTTGATCACCCTTCTAATAAAAAGAAACCAGTCGTCAACGTGATATACTGTGGATTCATTATTATTCGTTGGATACCAATTTTCGTGGTTTTCGTGGATACAGGTAAACCACAAATTTAAATGTTCAACAAATTACAAATGTTCTGTCGGGTAGTATGCTGACTTCAGCAAAACCACGAAATCACATATCCACGAAAAGGCAAGTTTTCTGCAATCCACGAAAATTGGTACCCACGAAAATAAATGAATCCACAGTAACTAAAGACCAACGAAATCGAGAACGAGGCTCAACCACGTGCTTGCAATAAACACAATCTATAAATACCGCTCAATGTAAACAAACAATCAAGAATTCGATCTCATTCGATACTGAAATGGAAACCGGGGTGTATCCCAGGTAAAACATTGAAAAGATGTAAATTCCAACATGAATAACCGGAAAAGTTTCGAGTTGCAAAAACCTATTGGCGAAAATAAGAATTTTTCATTTGACCTGGAGAAAAAAACAAAATTTTTTGATAAGCTATATTCACTTTCAGATACAAAAATGTAACCTCAGAATGCAGGATTTTACATCTAATCTTCCAAAATTTTCTTGGGGGGGCATGCACCCAAACCCTCCTAGGAGGTTCGGATCACAAAATTTTTCAGGTCTAGTATACATCAATTCGGGCTAGGTTTTTTTTTAATCAACTAGCCCTATGGGCTAGTGCTTGGAAAAGTTATTGGCACAGACTGAGTAAAACATATATATAAAGAAATTTGGGTTGACCTTTTAATAAAGGTAAGATTTTTCTGATTACTTGTGGTACTCATTAAATTTGCCATTAATTTGTAGTGTTCTGTACTGAATCAAATTCAAATATTGTATTACCATTCCTCCCTTCCTTATTCCAAATTAAATGTATTTAATAAATTATGAATATAATGTATGTACAATAGCACCTCGTAAGTAGTGATCCCATAATTAAAAGCAAATGTATCAACTGAACATTTCTATATGGTTTTAATTCTTTGCAGACAGAATCAGAATTTGTTGGTTTGTTTCACATATTTTCTTCTCTTCTGGCTATACATACATTGGCAACATGTGACAATAAAGAAATATCATTTAGGGGATAGATTTACAAATAGGATGGTACATGTATAAAGAAGCACAAATAAGTACAGTAGTGATACATTTTTTGTATGCAAATAGTAGGATGAAAAGTCTGAATTTGTGGTGAAAAATCTTCTTTTTGTTAAACTCTTTTCTCAAAAACCTTTTGTCGATGAATATCGTAAACAAATCTTTAAAAGGCTGACAGTGACTTGACCAATAAAGATAAGGATAAGAAAAATAAACTGATACGGATACTTTTTGGTTAAGCTGTAATAAACCTTTTCAATAACATATCTGTAATATTAACAAAAAAGTAGTGTTGTCAAATCGCACAGTTTTGCCTAACTGGTTACTCTGATGATCTTTCGACCAATTAACCGGTTAACTGGTAGTTCAGGTGATATGTAATGGCCTTATATATCAGTCAGAGCTCTGACATAAACAAGTCAGAATAAAATGACTTCTTAAAGTCAGAAAGTGTTTTGAAATTCTGACCTGTACGCGTCAATTTTTGTTTTGCGTAGTTTTCACTCGAGTCCGTCAAACCAGAAGTTATTTTGAATTTGCCGCCGATCTACGACACATACGATCACGTGGTTTTTTGCAAGAGATCACGTGTTTGAGAGTCGTTGTTTTGGAAGTGTCTCGAATGAGAAGTCATTGAATATTATATTGATTATTTACGATTTTTTGTGAAAATCTAGGTCATTGTGGGCATTTTTAGAAAGGTAATTCATATTACCTCCGTATTTTCATGGGCATTTTTATATTTTTTGCCTATAAAGAAGTTCCTTGCAAGTGATTTTTTTGCTGTTTCGTGAAGGCGTGCGACCTGTAAATACGGACGCGTGGTCTTTGAGATGACCTGGTGTTTGACAATTTTGACTTGTTCAGGTCAGAAAATGTTGTTATGATAATGAATTGTTATTTTCGGGAGATAACTCGTGTTGTCTTAAACAATATTAACATTATTAACCAGTCAGTGCAATTTAAAAAGTAAAATTATTGCTTCAAGCTGAACATCGTCACGTGATTTTTCTATTTTTAAAATCACGAATTGGTTTTAACCTTTCCGATTCGTTTCTCCCTATGAGAAAAACGATCATTGTGAATATTGATATGATGATAATGAAACGAAAATGGAAAAAATTTTAATAAAAGAAAAAGGAAGGGAGGGGTTTAACTAAAGAATTTTTTTTTTATTTTTAAAGTTATAACTTAAGAACAATAAGTGATGCACACACCTGGTCTTCATTTATGATCATGGGACATGATAAAACAAATCAAATGAAATGTAGGGCAAGTCTCCAGGGATCACCCCTATCCCTGTCATTTCTCTATTCCTCTTTATAATGTCAAATTGATTTGAATGAAATATACCGGGCTAGTCTCCAGGTTTACCCCCACCCCCTGCCATTTGCAAATGTTCTTATATTTTGTAAACGGTAGAGATCCCCACCCCTAAACCATATATATTCTTGTATGGGACAATTTAACAAATCAAATGATATGTTGGGGAGGTCCCTGGGGGTCACCACTACCCCTCCTGTTTGAAAACTTGTAAACGGTCGAGATCCCCACCCCTAAACCATATATTTTCTTGAATAGGACAATAAAACAAATCAAATGAAATATAGGGGAAGTCCCTTGGGGTCACCCCCACCCCCTCCTGTGTTAAAACTTTTTAACGGTCGGGATCCCAACCCCTTAACCATATATATTCTTGTAAGGGTCAATAAGACAAATCAAATGAAATAAAGGTGAAGTCCCTGAGGGTCACCCCACCCCCTCATGTTTGAAAACTTGTAAACGGTCGAGATCCCCACCCCTAAACCATATACATTCTTGCACAGGACAATAAAAAAAATCAAATGAAATATAGGGAAAGTCCATTGGGGTCATCCCCATCCCCCTTTTTGAAATGTTCTGGATCACCACCCCTAAAGGTAAACCATATGATATTCCTGTTCGTCATTTCAAGAAGATTTGAATGACATGCAGGGTCAAACCCTAGGCGTCACTTATGCATATCACTTTACTAGACAAAACCAATTTGTACTGGAACTTGCCCAATGTCAGGCAACCATGGGAATGACGAATTATGGGAGCTTTGTTTGGGAGACTTCGTAACAGCATCCTGTTACAATTATTTCTTGTTTATTTTAATCTGCTGAGAGACCACCTTTACATATTATATCTATCAGTGTTTGTGCAAACAGAATTGTCTATTCAGTAATATTTTCCTCTCACATGCATCACATCTTATTAATTACATGGATATAGGAAGATGTGATATGAGTGCCAATGAGACAACTCTCCATCCAAGTTACAATTTATAAAAGTAAACCATTATAGGTCAAGGTACGGCCTTCAACACGGAGCATTGGCTCACACCGAACAGCAAGCTATAAAGGGCCTCAAAAAATTTGTATCCATCTTGGTTACTCTACCAGCTTTTCCGTTAGAAGGTGTTGGTTCACTCGTCACAAATTATTTATTTTTCTGTGAACCCCTGCATCCGCACACGATCCACCTTAGCCGTCCTGCGTTGTAGTTACAACCGTTAGCCTCATGTCTACCGACCAGTTCCATTCTACCACCAACCTCACTGAAGAAACCGCCCATACCTCGAAGAAAAGGAAAACCCGCGAAAAAGAAGACCACCGCAAAACGTACTGAACCGCAGAACCGCACGATTATTGTTGAAATAAACTTGCAACATGGATAGTGTACCACAACCGCAAAATGTAACCAATTCACCACAACTTCCACCATGCCCTACATGTGCGACTACCATACATCTTACAACATTCCCGACGCAATTGGAAGTAGTACCTCTTTCCGAGTGAAGCCTTTTGGAATGGTACGGAATGTCCTGTGAGGTGTTGTCCATTTTGGAAAAGACACTGACCATGCATTATTAACTTTTACTTTCACTTTCATTTTAAAGTTGTCAAATCAATTATTGTGACGTTACGTCTTGTTAACCTTTGTAACCCCATATGCACCGCATTTTATGTACTTCAGTATTTGTTTTCTATGTTTAAATTGTCCTGAAGACGCCACCGTAAGTGGCGAAACATGTAGACTCAATAAAACTATCACCTTGCGGTAACCCAGATGTTGTTGTCTCTACATATTATATTTCCATGAGGTTTTAAGACAACCGCAGCATACTTCGGTATCCATCTTGGTTACTCTACCAGCTTTTCCGTTAGAAGGTGTTGGTTCACTCGTCACAAATTATTTATTTTTCTGTGAACCCCTGCATCCGCACACGATCCACCTTAGCCGTCCTGCGTTGTAGTTACAACCGTTAGCCTCATGTCTACCGACCAGTTCCATTCTACCACCAACCTCACTGAAGAAACCGCCCATACCTCGAAGAAAAGGAAAACCCGCGAAAAAGAAGACCA